CAGATGATTAGAAACAAGGGACAGAAAACCCAGAGCACAAGGGGTGGGGGGAGGGGGCAGGGGACATAGACAGGATGCAGAATGTGAAGGTGAAAAACAGGGGACCCACAGAATGGTGAAAAAGGAACGGGAACCCCGTTCTGTGGCTCCTGGGGTCTCCCAAATACTCACCCAGTGTGTGGGGTTAGGAGAGGCTGGGAGAGGGCTGGGAGAGAGGAAATGCGGTCAGGTGGCCGTAAGGGAGCCCCTCGCTCACACTCAGCCTGTGTCCCTTGAAATGCCACCTCCCTCCCTGCCACCCTCCCCACCTGATCTCCACCTCCCTCATGGGGCAGGGATAGAATTCAGATGTGCTGAGCCCAGCAGCTGGGGGGGGGGGGGGGGCGCGCTACGGACACCACAGCCCAGGAGAGAGCCAGTCTAGGCACAAGCGCTTTCAGAACCCGGGACCTTCCTTCTGGACTGACCTCTGAGGCGACCAAGGCACAGTAACCCAGGCTGCTCACAGCGTGGCACACTGCCTGCTTCCTGGGTCTGCTGCAAACACCGAGGCTTGCACCTCTGCGCCCTGGGCCCTGCACTCCGCTCACCCTTGGCCCCAAGGAAGGACAATGCTGCATTTCTGAAGGTCAGGTTCTAGCACCTTCTCCCAGGGTCGGCTCGAGGCCATCCTGAGGTTGTATTGGACTGTGGACCAGTCCTGCACCTCCCTACTACAAATGCTCACTCCACCACGCCCCTCACACAGCTTGCCCATCCTGATGACGTCAGAACAACAAAGCTGACTGATCCGGAGCCCCTGAACAGGTTCATGAGGGAGAGCCTTGGTTTGAGAGAAATGAATGGCTACTTGAAGTGATTGGAGACCAATATTCTGACTCTGCAGAGCTCAAGTTAAAGAAATCTTCAGCCAGGTGCTGGTGGCTCATGCCTGTAATCCTGGCTACTCAGGAGGCTGAGATCTGAGGATCGTGGTTCAAAGCCAGCCTGGGCAGGAAAGTCCGTGAGACTCTTATTTCCAATAAACCACTTGAAAACCGGAAGTGGTGCTGTGGCTCAAGAGGTAGAGCGCTCACCTTAAGCTGAAGAGCTGAGGAACAGAGCCCAAGCCCAGAGTTTGAGCCCCACAACTGACCCCCCCCCAAAAAAAAATTCTTCAGCCATGTTCTGGTGGCTCATGCCTGCCTGTAATCCTAGCTATCAGGAGGCTGACACCCGAGATCACGGTTGAAAGCCAGGCTGGGCAGGAAAGTCCGTGAGACTCTTATCTCCAATTAACCACCAGAAAACTGGAAGTGGTGCTGAGGCTCAAGTGGTAGAGCACTAGCATTGAGGTTAAGAGCTGAGGGACAGAGCCTAGGCCAAGTTCAAGCCCCACAACTGACAAGAAAGAAAGAAAGGAGAAATTTTCAGTTTGTTCCAATATGACAGCACTTTCCAGTAATGGGATCTTTAAAAAAAAAAAGTATCTTTCATGTGTGTGTGTGTGTGTATGTGTGTTGTATGTTGTATGTATGTATGTGTGTGTATACATGTACATTAATGCTAGGGCTTCAACTCAGAGCCTAGGCACTGTCCCCGAGCTTTTTTGCTCAATGTTGGTGCTCTACTATTTGAGCCACAGCTCCCCTTCCAGCTTTTTGGTGATTAATTATAGGTAAGAGTCTCATGGACTCCCCTACCCTAGATGGCTTGGAACCTCAACCCTCAGATCTCAGCCTCCTGAGTAGCTAGGATTACAGGCTTGTGTCACAGCTCCCAGCCCCATGTAATCTTTCAAAGCTCTAGGTTCCTTAACAGGATACCCAGGCTTGTTTTATCAGATGAGTGAGATAGCATTTAATAGAACTCCTAATCCAACCCCTGACGTGCTGTGCAGACCGGACAGACGCTGAAATGGACAGCCTTATCCACTTTGTAAGATGCCACCCTTCCGCCTCTACCTCCCCACCACAGCCCCCACCCGGACTCAGGACCTTCAGACAAGTCCTCTGCTCCTGCTGCCAGCTCCTACCCTCCACAAGGGACAGAGCCCTGCCGAGGAGACCACGCCCCCTGCCCAACCCTCATCCCCAGCTCCGCCGACCACACAGGCCTCACACTCAGCTAAAGCCCACCCACCACGGCTGCATACCCTGGTCATTGGGGACTTGCAGTCCAGTGATGGAGAAAGGGAAAAATAAAGTCAAAGGAATAATAAGCCAATGTTTATTGAACACATACTATCTGTCAGGTGCAAGTCTGAGCCGTTTTGTTTTTGCAAGTGTAAGCACTCAATTCCAGCAGCTGTTTTCAATTGGGTACCAACCATTGCTGCCCCCCATTTACAGAACTGGAAACAGCCACTGCAAGGTCAAGCGATTTGCCTAAGGACCCACAGCTGGTAGGGAGTGGGCTCATTTAACCACTTCTTTGGCTTCATAGCTCTGGAAGATACACGGGGTCAGACATCCCAAGACCCTCCTGCCCCTGGCCCTTGGCATCTGTGTTCTCTGGGACTGAAATGCCCTCCCTCTCATCTTTTCCCTGTTTACCCTTTGACCTTGAGCACTGAGGTCAAAAGGACTCCTCTACCCTTCCCAGACCAGCCCCTCCCATCTTTAGCTTGCTCTTTCCCCTACCAGTCTCCCAGCATGCTTATCCCAATTAGATTTATTCCCTGACCCTGTGTCTCTCCTCTCCCATTGGACTCAGAGAGCCACAATAGAGACAAGTATGCTGATAAGACAGCGTCTGCACCTAGTAGATGTTCAATAAACATCATCTGCTGAATTAATTGGTTGAGTGACTTACCTGGAGGCAGCCCTGAGGTCCATGGCCCCAGACTCCCCTCAGCTCTCTGTGGTGGTCTCCTGCCTCTACCAGGACTCTGGTGTCCCCTGTCCCACCCTGCTTCTCAGGACCCCAGCAGCTCGTGTCCCCTGACGGAAGCGATGGCACTGCCAGGTGAGGTCTGTACAGGATGTGGGGTGCAGAGTTCCCCTGGGGTTCCAGGGACTAAGCTGGGAGTCAGGGAGTGTTGCTGAGGCTGAGAGGAGGCCCGGATCCCAGAGATGATCTCCCTGCAGCCATAACACAGAACCTCCAGTACTGTGGTCTGGAGGCCAGAGACACACAGATCAATATCACACCAGAGGGCGTCTGCAGCTCCAGTCTACAGCCCAGTCTCCCAGGAGACAGAGGGAGCCGTGTGGAGGAGGCTGAGGCCCCAGGAGAGGAGAGGAGGCGCTGATCTCCCAGGACCATGGTCACAAAGTGGACCTGCCCCAGTCCTGAGGTCAGCCCTCGGAGATGGGAACTGCCCACTGCACAAATGAGGAGACTGAGGAACAGAGAGGCAAATACCCATGTGAGCGCCCCGCAAAGCCAGACCCAAGCAGCCTTGTCTGCTCTAGGGCTATGCCCTGCACAGAGGGTCAGACTTCAAGAGCAATTCTAGGGTCCCAGGCCCTAACCAGCCTGCTGCTTCCAAAGACGGGGTCCCTACGGAGCACCCCTTCCTTTCTGAGCTGCTCCTCATCTTGAACCTCCCAGCAACCCTCTCAGACTCCCAGAGACAGCGACTCTCTGGGCCTCTGGAGGCCACTGAACATGATAGCCAGTGTCCCTCCTCACCCGGGCCCCTCCATGCCCAGCTCTGGGGGCGCTGCTGAGCTCTGTACCCCCAGCTTGCCTCCCCCATGTCCAGATGCACCCAGGGCCCTGGTCAGGCCAGCCCTCAGAGTCCACAGTGCCCTGTACCCTTCTTTGATGGCGCCACTCTGTAACTTATGCATCTGGGACTCGCATAGGACAAGCCTTGCTTGCTCCCAAACCGTGCAGACCGGCTCATCAGCTAGCTGGATTCCAGGGTGCTGCTGAGAAGGGGCCAGAATGGAGATGTCCACAGGGAGACACAGCCCCTCTCAGGGGGTTATGCTGTGTATGTGCATGGGGGAGGGCGGCTGTGACCTTGTGTCTGTGTGTCCATGAATGTGTCTGTGTCTCCATATATGCCTGTGTCTATGTATGCATTCCTGTCTATGTGTCCATACATCTGTGCATGCATCTGGGTTTCTGTGTGTCTGTGTATCCCTGTGTCTTTATGTATACGTACTCATGCCTGTGTGTTGCATGTGCATTGTGTACATGCATGTGTATGCATTTGCTGTGTATCATGTGTGTACGAAGGGGGGTATTCATGCCCATGTGTGAATCAGTGTATGGAGGTTTGAGTGTGTGCTTTTGTGTGTGTGTGTGCCGCTGTATGCAAGTGTCTGTGTATGTGTGTGTATCAGTGTATGCTTGTGTTCACATGTGCATGTCTGTGTGTCAGGGTGAGTGTGTGTGTGTGTGTATGTGTGCACACGCACAGCACCTGCATGCTTGGTCCTGGTTAAGAATGGGCCACAACTTTTCCAAGTTCTGAATTTTTCAGAAACTGCTACGTGGGGAGCAGCCTGGCTCCCCTTTCTTGGGTGTCCTCAGGTCCCAGGTCCTCAGATGTCTTCAGATTTCACTGTGTGGGCCAGATCAGGACGGAGATCTGTACCACCCAGAATACCTCAGGGCCACCACACATCTGTCCCAGGTTCCTGCTGGGAACAGGGAAAGGGGCCTCCCTCTGCAGGAGCCGCAGGGGCAGAGGGTGACACCCCTCCCCCAACTTGGACACAGCCAGCCTGAGACACGAGCCAGCCCAGAACCAAGGAATGAGGACAAATCCCTGCTCCTACCATGAGAGCTCCAGACCCAGCCCTGCCCAGCTCTCAGCCACTGGGGCCAATGAACTTCTCTCTCTCTCTCTCTTTTCCTTAAATGACATTGGGTTTCCTTCCAGCTGAAAGTGTGCAGAAGAATAACCCTCAGTGCTCAGGACCAAGATGTGAGTGGTAGAGGACTGGGGTGCATTGACCTCCAGACCCATCACCCGAGGACCCCCAGATCCTGAGCCCAGGAGAGCCCCCTTTGCCTGCCGCCGACCTGGCAGAGCCCTCCAAACAGCACGCGGGAGCACAGCATGGATTTGTCTTTAGCTTTATCTTTGTAAGGCCGTACAATAGATGGCAGGAGACCAGGCGCTGTACAGGAGCGGGCAGAGCGTTAGTGTACATACATTCATGTCTTGGACGAGGCGCACACGGCAGGGTTTATACAAGGTGGCAGAGGTTATAGTCACCACGATACAAAATATAAAGTACATTTCCATCTATATAAATACACAGCCGGGGGAGGGGGGGGAGGAGACAGGGACTGCTTTTCCAAGGGTGGACTGTGACATTAGGAATCGCTTACATTTGTTTTGAATGAGTCAGAGAGGAGGGAAGGAAGGGGGGGAACACAGCATGCGCACCCCAACGTGCTGGTCACACACATGCACAAACCAAACGTGGACACACAGAAGAGCATTGCCTGGGATGAACGTGGACTGGAAGACAAACTCAAGACATCACTCACTCTAAACAGCCTCACCGCTGGGAAGAGCCGGCTTGTACCGACAGCCCCAGACCCTCCTACCTGGATACCTCTTGCTGCTGTGTCCTACTGAATGTGACATTCCACCATCTACCACGTCCGGCCCCCACCCCTAAGTTCTCGAAAGAGATGAGCAAAATACACGCACACACAGTCACACTTGCACACACATGCGCACGCACATCCCAGGTTACCACTGACCCAAGTCTCAGGATCCCCAAGCCTGGGGCTAGGTAAAGCACAGCTCTAGTACTCTGCCCCCTCCATGTTTTTCAAGGACCCCCAACATAGGGGGAGGGGGAGGGGATGGTTGTTTCCCCTACCCAACTTCCCCTCAAGACCTAAAGCTGGGGGGAAAAATTAGGGGGAAGGAGTCTCAGGAGGTAAGGATGGAGGGCCATGTATCACACTTGGGGGTCCCTCTGTACCCCACTGGCCAGTGCAGGGAGCTGGTTCTACCTCTGCTCAGGCCCACAGAACAAGGTGGAAGAATTGCTACTCTTCTCCTGTTAATGTTTACAGAGAGATCGCAGCCCCCTCCCCCCGCCCCATCACTTCTGGCTAGTTTCCGCACACCAGCAGCCCCTCAAAACCCAGGGGAAGCGGGCGGGAATCCTGGCCATCGATGTCCACAGCCATCAGAAGTGCAGGGAAGGTTGGGTGAAGAGAGGGCAAAGGCCTTTCCCACACCCAGGGCTGAGCTAGCAGGTGAGGGTCTCAGCCACCCCTGGAGAAGGAGCCAAGAGCTCCTCTCCCGATTTTCCCTCTGAGGTTACCTCTCCATTACTCTCAGGCCCAGTTCTTCCCTGTGGATCCCCTGGAAAGAGCCACAAGGACCACACCGGGCCCCATTCCTTACCAAATCAGAGCTGCCCCTCCCTGACCTCTTGTCTCCAGGTTGCAGCTAGGACAAAGCTCCCAGGCTTTCTTCGGAGACCTGACGGACAGACATCCTGGCCTTGCTGCCACCTGGTCACGGTCTCTCCAGCTGGCTATGTTTCTCCTGCTCTTTCTCACCATTTCTTCCAGACCCTGTTCAATCCCTGACCCACACTCATGATCAGACAACACTCTTCCTGCTGACACACAGACTCCACAAGGAAGGACAGCAAAACACATCAAGGAAGGGGTGCTGAAACATGGACAAAATAATAACGACGAGTAAAAGTGCTTTCTTTTAAAGAAAATCTTTGGCAAGAATAGACTGCAGGTGTGGAGTGGTGTGTGTGCATGTGTGTGTGCACGTATGAGTCTGTGCGTATGTGTGTGCACATGCGCAGGCCCACCTGTGAGACAGAGGAGAAGGGCAGCAGGCGATAGTGTAGTCCCCCAAGTGGAGCTTCCATGGGCCTGTGGTCCCTTCCCTCACCATTCTTCTGGAAAGGCTAAAGCTCTTAGGCTCCCATGGCCTCCAGAGGCATGCTGGGAATAAGTGATCAGCGCTGTCCCTGGTTTATTCCCACAGCTCACCAGGGGTGAAGGCCTGAAGTACAGGGGCTGATCACATCGGGGAGGGGGCTGCTGGTGGGCTCTGGTGTGGAAGCAAGTGTAAAATCTGACCCCAGACTCAGATCCAGAGGGCCTGACACCCCACCCAGCTTCAAGCACGTACAGGACACCCTGACTGGAAGAGCCCCTGGGCTGTGCAACATCGGATACAATATTTACAAAGAAAGGGGACAGGACCTATTTCCCATCTCAGAAGGAGGAATCTGGGGTCCAGCGGGGAAATGAAGAGAGGGGCCATCAGGCATTGGTTTGAATTATCTCAGAAGGAAGGACACTTGAGGAGGAGGTTGGCCATTAAGCCCAAGGTTTTATCCTTTGAGGAGTCTTCCACTGCTCCCCATCTGAGATGCTCCCCAGCTCCCTGAAATCGTATACCCACACAGACACAGCTCCCTGGAGGAGAAACACCCCCCCACACACACACACACACAAGATAGACACGACCCCCCCAGCCACACACATCTGGGTCTCATCCCACTCACTCACTCTGGTCTTCGATCACAGGGTGTGTGCCCTACTCATCCAGAGAGCTGGGCCCCTGGATTGCCAGAAAACAGAGAGGGGCAAAAGGGTTAGGCACGTGTACCTCTTCACCACTGAGCCCTACAGCCCTAGACACAGTCTAGGGAAATCAAGGAGAAGGTTTCTGGCTGTTCCAGGGATTAAGGTGTCTATTAAAGGCTCTACTTCTACTGAAACTGGTTTATGGCCAGGGAGGCAAATAAAGTAATATGGGAAAACAATAAATACTTCTTGTCAATTTACCTATTTCCTTTTTTTGTCACCTTTTCTTATAGTTTATTAGCTTACAGATTCTGTCAGTATGTCTCACATATATATTATATATATTTATATATCAATACAATGCCTCTCTCTGGAGGACCCCTCCCCCATAGGCTTAAGAATGGACTCCTAGTGAATGTTCCCTCTGGCTAAGAGTCCTCAAGATGGTGGTCAGGGGGCTCCTAACTGCCTAGATGGATTCTAGGCCCTTTGGTCTAAGCGCATACCTTCTGCCCACACTCGGTGGATAACAGGGCTTTGCATGGGGAAACCAAGGCAAAAGGAGAGTCAGCAAGGCTTTGGCATTGCGGGTAGGCCACACGGTGCTCTGGAGGCAGCCCCCAGGGCCCTCTGATGCCACCCCAGGCACCTGGCTGGGTGTCCCAGGGTGGAGACTGGGGACTTGGGGTATCTCCCTGCGTTCTCACTGAATGGGGCTTTGAGAAACAGGATGAACCCCAACATGAGGACCCTGTAAGGGGAGGACAGAAAGGCTTGGTCCCCAGCTCCCAAAAGGCATCATGCAAATGAGTAAGTCTGAACTAAGGCTGGTGTTGGGGCTCCCAGCAGAGAAAGGAGGCTGAGAGGTGAGGGTAAGGCAAAGTCCTGGGCACTGAAGAGAGAGCCTAGCCCCCACTGGCTGCGAGCCACGTACCCAGAGGAGATGGAGGGGTTTAGCAGCCACCCTTCCTGACAGATCTCTTCCCCAAATCTCTGAGTATCCACTTCCTCAAACCCAACTCCAGCTCTGCCAGTAGAGACAGAGGTGACCCTGGAGGGGTAACTACCAGAGGGGAGGAGCAGGGACCAGCAGAGGGAGGGGGAGGAGGGAGGGAGCTCTGCTACCCACAATGCTGCACGTTCTGTCACCTGTCACTCCCTTTGGACAGAATGCACATGGGTGTGGACACATGGGACCCAGGCATGCGGAGCCGTTTGGAATATTCTAGCAGAGAGAGGCAGATATAAATCAGTGTCTGCGGCTGTGGGGGAAGATTATACACACCCCACAACGATACAGGGGAACACAGTGCAGACCTGGGTGGCTCTGGTCTAAGAGACTTGAAAAAGTTCCACCACGGATGGTCCGTGTTGGCCGATTGCTTTAGCAACCTGCCCTATAGGTGGCTAGAAAAAGGACTCTCAGTTTGATTTCTCCTTGCAAAGCAGGTGTGTTGAGAAGCCTGAGCTTTTTCATTACCCCTTAAAATATGGATTCCCAAGGAGGCCTGTGGGTCCTCTGTTGAGGGACTCTGTTCTCTTGGAGGGGCAGGGGGCTTGGGGGTAGCCAGCAGGGGCATAGGGTTTTTGCAGTCTCCATCTACCCAGGGGAATCTTGAGTTCTCCATCGTATTCTTTCTCTGTCTCCCTCTCCCCTTCCCCTCTGCACTTCACTTCCCTCTCCCCAACCACGCACTTTCTTCTCTCCTTCTCAAAATTGGCCCCCAAGTCCTCCCTCTGGATCCAAGGTGGCTAGGATTCCTGGGTCTCCTCCCACGCGCCCCACCCCAACCGTCTGGCGCTAAGGCAAGGACTCCAGAGGCTCATCTCTTCTGGCCAGCGCTCAGCATGACCTTGGAGACGAAGTTGACAATGGCGGAGGCAGGCTGGTTGGAGTCAAGCTCTGCGAAGAGGTGGCAGGCGTTGTCGGTGGTGCTGCCCTGCTTCCGGGCCACGAAGCCAAACAGCCTGCAGGGGCGGCACAGGGGCAACTGTGTGAGGGGGAGCGGGAAGATCCCAGGCCCAGACAGCAGCCCCAGAGGCAAGTCTGACACAGGCCAGAATGTCCCCCACACCCCCCAATTCTCCTGAGCATCGGGAAATGGTGTTTCACCCTGGGAAGAATCCAGCAAAGTCAAGTCCTAGAGACAATGTCTTGCTGTGATTCTAGGCGGGCCATGGCTTCCCCTTTCCAGGGAGGAATGGGGAGCTGGGTGTGAAAGACAAGACTCGAGAGTAAGGGTGGGGAGGAGAACAGAAGCAGGGACATTCGAAGAACATACACAACCATGTCTGTCTATATGTTGTACGCATCTCTCTGTAGTTGGGGTACACAGAAGCCTACTGCATTCTGGCAGGTTTTGTGAAGCATAGCCATCTACTTCCTGCTCTGCATTTCTACTTGATTTTTTTTTTTTTTTTTGTCAATTATGGGGCTTGAACTCAGGGCCAGGGCACTGCCGTTCAAAACTAGCACTCTACCACTTTGAGCCACAATGTCACTTCTGGGTTTCTGGTGGCTAATTGGAGGGAAGAGTCTCATGGATTTTCATGCTTGGGCTGGCTGTGTACAACAATCATGGAATCTCCTGCCTAGGCTGGCAGGCCTCAGATCTCAGCCTCCTGAGTAGCGAGGATTACAGGCATGAGTCACTGTCTCATTTGTACTTTCAATGAGATGACCGTATCACTATTTTACACAGTTTACATAATTGTGAAACTGTCCATCCTGGTGATATTTACATGTCAACAGTACTGACAGGCTACAAGGAAACCTGGCATCATACATTAATTCACCTCTTATTTTCTGAGCAATGAGTCGTGATTACTTTATTTCATTTTGCTAGTATTTGCTTCCTGTATCCCAAAACTGTATAACAGTGTTCAAGTGATACAAGGAATTTGTGTTCATGGTTAAAGCAGAGGATAAACATGTTAATTTTGAACACAGATTTTTAAAATAATGACTATATTACTTACTAGACTGCTGTACTTACTACTTAAATATATGGAATTTTATTTGATTATTTTTTTGTCGGTTGTGGGGCTTAAATTCTGGGCTTAAGCACTCAAGGTGAGCACTCTACCACTTGAGCTACAATGCTACTACCAGTTTTCTGAGCGGTTTATTGGAGATAAAGAGTCTCACGGTTTTTTTGGGCTGGCTTTGAACCACAATCTTCAGATCTCAGTCTCCTAAGTAGCTAGGATTACAGGTGTGAGCCACCAGTGCCCAGTTGGAATTTTAATTTTTATAAGATACATTTTCTCATAAAGAAGAACATGAATATGACAAATGAAAAAAAAAAGTTTGGAGACATTCCCTGATGGGTACCCCTGGCCCTTCCCAGAGGCTCCCTAAGGCCCCAAAAGGCAAGCGGACCCCACCCCAACCCCTGGGCTGGGAAGCCCAGAGAACAGGGCTGCCCCTCACCCCTCCCACCTGTCCATCACACCCTCCCTTCTCTGAGACTGCAGAGACTTCGCCGTTCTCTTTTTGCAAAACAGAGTTAAAAATATGAGGGCAGAGAACAGAATGTGAGTGCAGGGCCTCTCCCAGCCTGCATGTTGTAATTAGAGCGGGATGGGGACATCAGGACAGCTGGAGATTCCGATGGAAACCCCTCTGCCTGGAATGGCACTGCGTGGCTAAAATTAGCCAAGTTGGGCTCTGCCTGTTGCAGAGTGTGTGTGTGTGTGTGCGTGTGTGTGTGTGTCTGTGTGTCTGTGATGCATGTGGTATTTATAGATATATGTATGCAAACACACACACACACACACATCACACACCCTCTGCTTGGAACTGCTAGGCTCTCTCAGGGAACCACAGGGCCAAAGTGTGGTGGGGCGGGGGGCGGGGGGCAATCTCTCAGCCTACTGTGTGGAGCCCTAGCTGCCCTTTTCTGCCAGGATGAAGATCTGGCCAACTAACACCCACCCTAAATACCGCCACCTGCTGTGCCTACAAGCTCCAGCCTGCCCAGCTAGCCGGCAGGGACACCAGAGGGAGGCACAGAGATGGAGGCTGAAGAGCCCTCCGCCCCACACAGCCCTCAAGGTTGATGGTTCCGCCCCACACAGCCCTCAAGGTTGATGGTTCCGCCCCACACAGCCCTCAAGGTTGATGGTTCCGCCCCACACAGCCCTCAAGGTTGATGGTTCCGCCCCACGCAGCCCTCAAGGTTGATGGTTCCGCCCCACACAGCCCTCAAGGTTGATGGTTCCGCCCCACACAGCCCTCAAGGTTGATGGTTCCGGGACTGCTGACCAGTCTCCTCCTACCCCGACCAAGATGGCCTCCCTGCAGCCCTCTTCAGCCTCTGCTCTCTCCTTTCTCCCATCAGTCAGGCACCAGCCAATCAGGCTGGCACCAGAAGTAGCCTGCAGCTGAAGGTCATGCCATGCCCTCCCCCAAAGCAGTCTTTCTCCACACCCACTTCTATCTGTCCACATCGTACCTTTTTAAATCATACCCACTTTGAAACACTTGTTCTTTCCCCAAACCTCTCCTCCCTCCACCCCCCAGACTCGCTGTCCTTTGTTAGTTCCACAGATGTGGCTGAACTGTCCTCTAAAACTATGAGTTTGGGGCACAGACAGTCAGGCTGCCCTTTCTCAACCAACCCCTGTCCTGGATTCTAAACCTGCCCCTGCTGCACTGGTAGAGGAACACAAGGCCAGCTGGACCTGTGAGGGCAAAGAAGTCAGACTTACTTAGCTGGGGCTCCTCCCTCTGTCTTCATCCACCTGTGGAGAGAAAAGACACTCGAGGTGAATCACTACCCCTCTTCCTAGGAGCCCCAGGCCTGAACCAGACCTTCCTGGAGAAGACAGAGGAACCCCCATTTCTGAGAGACAGAGCTTCTCTAGGTCTATGATAGAAAAAGACTCACAATGGCCCTGCCCTGGATGCAGGCAGATCTTCCACTTGAGCCAAGACTACACAAGGATGCACACGTGCACACACTGCAGAGTTATACAGCAGGCAGGAAGGAAATGTGTTTGGTTTTTGTCCAAGAGACTTACTTTCTTTCTTGTGGATCCAGGTCACAGAAGGTGACAGTGTTGAGAGGATAGTGTCGTCGGAAGAAGAGCCTGTGGCACAGATAAACCAACAATGAGTGCTTCGGGGACTGCTTTTCCCATATTCCACCCACTGGGCAGGTTACTTCCCATCATCTGCCTGTCATGGGTCCTCTTGCTTGGGAGCAAGATGGCCTATGGCCTCAGAAATGCACAGGGGCAAACAGATGTGCCACAGAAACATGACCTGGGACTGGCATGGAGGAATGGGAGGACCCTGGAGGAGGAAGGAAATGGGCTGGGGACATGTTTAAAAAAGAGCCTAAGGGCAAGGGCTCTCTGCTTCTAGGAAGCAAGGACTTTTTTATAGGTTGTAGTTACAGCTGTACCCATCCTTGTAGGATGGATATATGGGTAGATTTATGGATGAATAGATTGATGATGGATAGATAGAAGGATGGATGGATGAATGGATGGATGATAGATGGTTGGATGAGGGATAGAAGGATGGATGGATGGATGATAGATGGATAATGGATAGAAGAGTGGATGGATGGATGGATCAGATGGTTGGGGTGCAGGAAGGAAAAGTCCAGCACAGAATCAGGTAGAAGATGCTTACTTTCTCTGGTTGTCAGTCAGTGTGATTCCCTGGGCAGAGACCTTGAAGTGAACGATGGTGGCAGTTGGCGTGGGGTCAGCAGCCAATGTCTCAGATGTGGCTTTGGAGATGGCCTGGGGCCCAGTGAGTGACTCCATGTCCACAGAGTTGATGAAGAGCACATTGCAGGCTACAAAAAAATCAAGCCAAGGAGAAGTCAGGGGATTGGGGAGTGGGATGACAATGGTCCAGGCCTGTGGCTCAGGGAGACATCAGTGTATTAATCTCAGGCCAGCCTCGGGCCAAAGCTTCTACATGTAGAAATGTGATCAGTGCAGGGACATCTGAGCTTAACAGAGGCTTCCAACCCACACGTGCAGGAGGGGGCAGAGAAGAAAGGCCTGGGCATGGGTCCAGTCTCAGGTGACCACTCACCTGCTCCTTGCTTCAGCAGGTCAGTGGTTGAGTTAGCAGGGCCGGAGCTATCTTTCGATTCATCTGTGGGGTCTGAAACAAAAATTCAGGTAGTAATTAAAACCTTAGAGCTGGGGACCGGGGTTGGGGGAAAACATGAATTTGGCTGGGCCTGAAGTGAACTCTGCAAATACACTGCAATGGATATTGCTTTCCATAGCAGGTCCTGGGAGTTAGACTGGCATTGGACACAGCAACTCTTAAGTACTCAGCATGCTGCTTGAGAGCTCTGGAATCTAGCAAAGCTGGACCACCAGCCACATCACTAGCCAAGTAGCTATAAGGCACACTGAGTCTTTGAGATGTTCTATAAAGGGATTTTTTTTTTGGTTGTTTGTTTTGTGTTTTTGTGTGCTAGTCCTGGGGCTTGAACTCAGAACCTGGGCACTGTCCCTGAGCTTTTTTGCTCAATGCTGGTGCTCTACAACTTGATCCACAGCTCTACCTCCTGGTTTTTTTTTTTGTGTGTGTGGTTAATTGGAGATAATTCTCATGGGCTTTTCCTGCATGGGCTGGCTTTGAAGCATGATCCTCAGATCTCAGCCTCCTGAGTAGTTAGGATTACAGGCATAAGCCACCAGTACCTAGCAGGTATTTTATTTATTTTTTTCCAGCGCTAGTCCTGAGGTTTGAACTCAGGGCCTGGGCCCTGTCCCTAAGCTTTTTGTTGCTCAAGGCTAATGTTGTACTACTTGAGCCACAACTCCACTTCTGACTTTTCTGATACTTAACTGATAAAAATAAGAGTCTCACAGACTTTCCTACCTGGATTGGCTTTGAACCGCAATCCTCATATCTCAGCCTTCTAAGTAGCTATACAAAAAGCTTTTAGTCTAGTACTTAACAAAAGGCAAGGCTTCAGGCCCACCCACTGGCATTTGCTGTTGTAGTTTTGCATTGATGTTTCTTTGTGGAGAACAACAAATGACCTCATTCATTAAAACCAATGCCGCACAGTGTTGAGTGACAGTGATTACACCTGTAATCCCTGCACTCAAGAAGCTGAGCCTGGGTTAACCCAGGCTTTAAGCGTCTGTTGTAAAGTAGCTTGGCTTTACATTTCAAAACATGTCAACATGTCTGTAAACCAAAACATCACAGTAGGGAACGGAGGTGTGGCTCAAGTGGTAGAGTACTGTCTCTGAGTGGAAAAGACCAAATGAGAGAGCAAGGTCTTAAATTCATGCACCAATCCTAGTACCAAACAAATAACAAATAAATAAATAATGAATCAGAAAATACTCTGTGCCTAGCACAATTTTTATTTTAATTATACCTTAATAAAATTTTAAAACAGAAAAAAAAGAATTTAGTTTGTTTCTAGAAGTGTTTTTTCATGTTTTAGTGTGTTTAGTGCTTTAGACTTTATTTAGTGCCAGTGGTGGGGCTTGAACTCAGGGCCTAGACACTCCTTTTTCTCAATACTAGCTTGAACTCAGGGCCTAGACACTCCTTTTTCTCAATACTAGTGCTCTACCACTTGAGCCACAGCTATACTTCTGACTGTTTGGTAATTCATTAAAGAGTCTCATGGACTGGGGTGGGGGGAACATAAAAAAAAAAAAAAAAAAAAAGAGTCTCATGGACTTTCCTGCCTAGGCTGGCTTCAAACCATGATCCTCAAATCTTAGCCTCTTCAGTAGCTAGGATTACAGGCATGAGCCACTAGCACCTGGTGGTGTGCAGATTTATTAAAACACAGGTTGCTGGGCCCAACCTAAAATATCTCTCTAATGCATTGGGTCTTGAGAACATTTTCATTTTAACCAGTTTTCAGATCACATGGTGCATCTGGTTGGGGGAACCACACTTCGAGAACCACTCCTCTATACAATTTAAACCTCAAATGGTTGTATAATTGCTGAACAACCACAGTCAAGTCTGTATAAAATGTAATGTAATCAGTGTCTCAATTGTGTGGTTACTAATGCTACTGAAGTTATATTTGAACTTTTAAGCTAATCATTTGGTCAATTATTATTAATAATTCAATGAGTTTAATTGGATAAATATCACTGGATAAATAGATTTCACCATGACATCGATCTCTGGTGACTTGTTTCAGGCTGCTTAGGGCTTCTCCCAGGAAGAAGCTCTGAAGTCTCGGAATTCAGAACCATCTGGCATGTCAATTTATATATGTTCCTAGGGTATAAGCCTCTTTAATGAAGAGAGCCTGTGTGTGGTTTTGAGTTTGCCCCTACTGGCAAAATGATTGGGTCTGGTCCCCCTGGCCCTGCTCTGAAGTGGCTGGGGAGGTGGGACAGGCGGTGGCTGGCTGGGCTTGGTGAGCAAGGCGTCTTGTCTTACCTCGGTTTGGGATGACCAGCTTGCAGGGCAGAGCCAGTGGGATGATGGAGTGCTGGTAGACCAGGGCCGACAGGGATCCTGCAGCGGGAAGGTGACACGGCATGTCAGGGGGGTATCCCTGGACACACCACTCCCACGTCAGGGGGGCTATCCCTGGACATGCCGCCCCATAGCCACCCTTTCACACAACAGCTGCAGCTTCCTCTTTTTTTCAGCACCTTGAGCAAACTAGGCCAGTCCTCTACTACTGAGCTACACTCCAGCTCTCAGCTACTTTACAACCTCTTCCTCATGCCATCAACAGAGCTGAACACTCTCCTCCCCCATCTCCCTCTCCTTCCCCCCTCTACAAAATCCAAGAAAGATCTGATCACTCTAATGGTCAGAAGGGGAACCTAACAACTTTCACTACTTTCTTTGACAGAAAGTCTCCCCTCCCCCACCCTCCCCAGAGAGAATGTGGCTTAGCATGCTTAGCATGCGTGAGGCCCTGTGTTCAATTCCTCAGTATCACATCAACAAAAAATAAATAAGATGGATAAACATTCTTTTTTTTTGCCAGTCCTGGGCTTGAACTCTGGGCCTGGGCTCTGTCCCTCAGCTCTTCAGCTCAAGGCAAGCACTCTATCCCTTGTGCCACAGCGCCACTTCTGGCTTTTTCTGCTTATGTGGTGCTGAGGCATCGAACCCAGGGCCTCATGCATGCGAGGCAAGCGCTCTACCACTGAGCCACCTTCCCAACCCTAAACATTTTTAAAAGGTAAAAGATTTTTTTAAAGTTCCCCTGACATCTCTCCTAAGTCCCTCTAGTTATAGGGACCCTCTCAGATTGGGACAGGAGTATTAGAAAATTGTGGGGTCAAATCCCATATCGGTCGCTTAGAATCTGTGTGCTCTTGGATAAGTCTAACTTACAAGTTTTCTCATGTGCAACGTGGGGACAATAATATCTATCACACGGGACTGTCATACAATCAGAAATATAGCAGGAACCAGGCACCAGTAGCTCCCACCTGTAATCCTAGCTACTCAAGGGACTGAGATCTGAGGATCTCAGCTCAAAGCCAACCAGTGGAAGAAGAGTCTGTGAGACTCTTATCTCTAAATAACCAGCAAAAAAAGCCAGAAGTGGAGCTGTGGTTCTAGTGGTAGAGTGCCAACCTTGAGCAAAATAAACCAGGCAAGAGCCCAAAACTCTTGAGTTCAAGACTCAACCAGCACAAAAGAGAGAGAGAGAAGAAAAAGATAAAGAACAAGAGAGAAAGGAAAAAAGAAAGAAAATAGGAAACACCTAGACAGCAACACATGTACAGTACAAGAACAGAAGATGTTGTTAGAATTCTAATGGCAATTGTAATGACAGAACAGTCTGAACTGGGCCCCAGGACAAATACAGGCAGGAATGTGGTATCTGAAGAAGCCTCAGGAAAAAGGAGGAAAACAAATCACTTTCTCCAGTTAAGTCAGTGATAAGCAGAGCCTGGGTGGAGAGGGCTTGGGTCAGACGCCAGGACCTGAGGCCAAGCCTCTGCGGCCATACCAGAGGAACAGAGGCTGGGACACTCACCAAAGTTGGGCTCATTGGGACAGCCTTTGAGCTTGACTCCTCTGGGGCCTGTCTCGATCAGGAAGTGCCGCACCAGCTCGTGGGTCATGTCTCCTGGGAGGAAGAGGAAGAAAGAATTGGTCAACTGACTGTCCTGTGTTCAAGTCTATACCCTCAACACCACAGCTTCCTGTCCCTCCAGGAAGCACCACGTGAGACCCGGATGCTGCTGTCTCCCTGTGCACTGACCCCACCATCACAGGCCCAGGACGTACTTTTCTTGTGTTTATGAGGGACCAGTTCTGATGAGAATTAGGGTTCCCGCTCAGGACCCCGAGGCCCGCCTGGGAGAGGACATTACCTTTTTTATTCTGCTGCATGATGGTAGGAGGGGGTGAGGACACCTTCATGGCCAGCCCGTAGGCCCCTCGGAAGGAGTGGCTGTCGCGGATGATGAAGGCCCCTGGCTCCTGATCCTTAAGGAGTGCAATGGCTGAAGTGGAGGGACATAAGAGATGAGCAAGATATTGGTGGCCTTGCTTGAGCCTGTGTGTGTGTGTGTGTGTGTGCGCACACACGTGTGCACGCACATTCGGCAGGCCTAAGACTTGAATTCAGGACCTAGGTGCTGTCCCTGAGCTCAAGGCTAGTACTCAACCACTTGAGTCATAGCTCCATTTTTGGCTTAAGGAGAAAAGAATCTGATGGACTTTCCTGCCTGGGCTGGCTTTGAGCCAAGATCCTCAGATCTCAGACTTCTGAGTAGCTACGATTATAGGCATGAGCTGAGATTTATTCTTTAAAGTCACACTTGATCTATGCCAAGGTAGGCAAACTTTCCACAAGTAGCCAGAGAACAACTGTTTTAAGCTTTATAGGACATACTGTCTGTTTCAATTGCTCACTTCTGATGCCACTGTGGGAAGGAGCCAGACAGGGTAGCCATATTCTAATAAAACTTTATTTATTAAAAAAAAAAAAGCATAGCCTGTTGGGTGTCAGTGGCTCACACCTATAATCCTAGCTACTCAGGAGGCTGAGATCTGAGGATCATGGCATGGTTTGAAGCCAGACTGGGCAGGAAAGTCCATGAGACTCTTATCTCCAATTAACCACCAGAAAACTAGAAATGGCACCATGGCTCAAAATGGCAGGGTGCCAGCCTTGAGCAAAAAGTTTGCTCAGGGAGGTGCCGAGGCCCTGAGCTCAAGCCCCATCACACACACACACACACACACACACACACACACACACACACACACACACACACACACACACACACACACACACACACACACACACACACCATAGCCTTTCTGCTCAGGAGGCTAAGATCTGAGGGTCATGGTTTGAAGCCAGCCTACACAGGAAAGTCCTTGAAGCTCTTTATCTCCGATTAAGCACCAAAAAAAAAAAAAAAAAGCCAGAAGTAGAACTGTAGATCCAGTGGTAGAGTGCTAGCCTTGAGCCAAAAAACAAACAACAACAACAAAACCCAAAGACCTCAGGGACAGTGCTCAGGTCCCGAGTTCAAGCTCTAGGCCCAGCAAAAACAAAAAACAAATAACAAACAAAACCCACGGTGTTTCTGTGAGTCTGAGGTAGGCTTCACCTCCAGTACCACATTCCCAACTTAGGTTTCTTTCTTTTCTATAAAATGTAAAGACGCCGGCTATCCTCCAGCTAAGGTTTCCTTTTACATCAGCTGGACTTTCGCTTTGCTCATGGAAAACAAGCCACAGGTTCTGCCATGCTTGCTTTCATTGGTGAGTGTGTCTGTGTGGCTTCTAGCTCAGCCCTGGCTCTGTGAGCAGAGGAAGAAGGCTGTTCGGATCCTTCCCATGGCAGACACGTTGGGCAACAGCATGCTGTGTCCTCTGCTGAGCCCCAGAGCCCACACCCCACTTACCCTGCTCCCTGGAGATCTCAGGCTTGTACCAATACTTGGAAGTGTCCTGGACAAACTTCACTTTAGCCCGAGTCTCAGGGCTGTTATCTAAAGGAGAAGAAAGGGAAGTGTTATGAATTAAAAAAAAAAAATATGTTGAAAACCTAACCCTGAAACCTATGCATGTGTGTCCTTATTTCTTTATTGGGAGATAGGCTCTTTGCTGCTGGAATCAAATTAAGGCCTTCTGGATTTGGGTGAGCCCTAATCCAGTCTGACTATTGTCCTTAACAGAAAAGAGAGAAGAGACAGAGACAAAGAGATGATGGATAGCATCGGTAAAGGGGAGACAAAAATCAGCGATACCAAGGATCCCAATCACTGACCGAAGCTGGGAGACAGGCCTGGAAGATTCGTCCCAGAGCCTCCAGAAGAAATTGCCCTGTTGACACCTTGGTTCTGGACTCCCGGCCTGTGAACCTATGACAGAATCCTTTCTGACTGTCTTAAGCCACCAAGTATGTGGTGCTTTGTTATACAGGCTCAGGATACAAACACTGATAACGAGTTTCCCCAAACCCAGCACAGCAGAGTAGAAGGGACCAGTGTGGTCCTCTCCCAGTCCCCAACTCCTGCCTCCATCTTGGGTTGCCATGCTGATCACCACTGATGAGCCTGGCACAGCATTCTCCCTTCAGCTCTACCTCTTCCTCTAAGGAAATCCTTCCAGCATCTTCCTTCCATAGGCTGACACCCCTCTGCCTCTTTCTTTCGAGTCATTTCTTCCAGATGCCACTTTCCCACATGGAAAATGGGATTCACTAACACATAAGGGAAAACCACTCTCTCTCAGGACAAGGAGGCAGTGGGCTGGCCTAGAATCTAAAGGCCATCTACAGTGTCACCCCTCCTTCTGTGGCAGACGACCCTCCCGCCCACACTCTACCCACCCTGGAATCTTTCAGAGACCATTACATTCTAGAGGGAGTTCGGGCAACACAGAGGACAACTGTGTCATGTTACAAAAATGTCTGTCCACTCTGCCGGCAGACAGACCAAATGGCATTCCCAGGAGGCTCAATTTGGGTGCAGACACATCACATCATGTCTTCCTGGAGCGTATCAAGATGGATAACCCCTATCCCCCAAGCCTTCCTTTCATTATTTTTTCTTTTTAATTAACCCATCATCGTTGCATATCTGTATTGCATATTGTGTGATACTTCAACTTGCGTTGATCCAAGTAGGCTCATTAGCATTTCTCTCCCCTCCCCTGTTTGTATGGTTCGTTAATTTTGAGACAGCAATCACTATGTGACCTAGGCCATCCTCAAACTCTCAGTCCCTCTGCCTCTGCTTCTTAAGTGCTGGGACTACAGGCATGTGTCACTACACTCTCCTCCTTATCATTTCTGTGTTTGGAGTCTTGTTCTTCATAATCACCCCCACTGTTCTATAGGACTCCTGTCTACCTATGTTCTTTCATCTTTTGGCACCAAACTGGAAAAGAAAAGAGGATGGGGGAAGAAGAGGAGGAAGAGAGAAAAAGGAAAATTGCAACTCTTCAGGTGTCATCTTCAGGAAGAGAGGGAGTAGAGCCAGTCTGCACCCAGGATGCTGTGGAGTTGAGGGAGATGGGCGGGCTTGCACGGCTCTATCCACCCACAGTAGTCTGCACTCCATTGGGCCCCTGTGCTCTGTCTCTGGAGGCGTTGGGGCTGCGCAGCTGGGCCATGCGACTATTCCTCACACCTGTCCCTGCTCAGAAGCCCAGGCCCCGAGGTGGCCTGCGACTGTTTTAAGGAGCTGTCAGAGGCGGCTGCGATCCCCTGTGCCTTCCTTCCTGTGTTGACTCCCAAGGCTATTTTAGGCAGGAACGATGATGGGAAACAGGAAACATCCCAACTACTACAAGAGTTGCATCCTTCGAGGGCGAGGGGCTGGGAACCAGATGTCCCCAGAGGGCGGCAGGAAGTGGAGCGGAGCGGGGAGGGGAAGGGTGTTCTAGCGCCCCAGCTTGGCGGGTTCAGGGAGAATCTAAAACACTCCACATCTGCCTTGTCTACGCAGGGCCCGGAAGCCGCTGCACACAGTCAAGGCCACGCTTGCTGGAGAAGCCTTGGATACAAAGATGCCGACACCTGGGGATGGATGAGGCCTTCCCTGGGCAGGCCCGTAAGGGCTTCCTCGAAGCCGGCCCCATCGAAACTCGCCTCTGTAGGAAGGCCCAGTACTCAGCCTCCGCCCATGTCCTACCTGGCCACCACATCTACTATCAGTGACAGGTGTACACTGGGGCTGGCCACAAGCTTAGAGGTCCAGGCTTGGAAGTCACGTTCTCCAATTTCTAATCAGTCACAAGATATAGATTTGTGATACAGAACACTCTGATGATACTTACAGAATGTGAATTTGGGGGTCGTTTGGACCTGGGTTTGGAAGCCTAGCCCTGCCACTGTTAACTGTATAAGCTTGGACAAATGACAGACCCTCATAAGGCTTGGTTTGCTCCTATGTAAAATAGGACTTACCAGGAGGCCACGGGGATTAAATGAGATAGTACTTAGTTCAGAGACTGGCCTGGGGCATGCGTTCAGCCGGTGGCTATGAGGCCTGATCCTCACAGAGGTCCAGGCAATAATGCCAGCCACTGGTAGTACTTTGTCACCTCACACCACAGCACTGACAGTCACAATTCCTGTGTAACAGGAGGAAATGGAGGCCCAGAAGCCAGTGACTCATCTAAGGTCATCTGCCCAGGGAGATGAGCTCCCTGCATAGGTCCTAGCTCCTGGACTCGGCTCACCGACAGGAGAGGTGGAGGCCTGAGAGAAGACGCACCTGGCATGGAGTATTTGGAGAAGTCAGGCAGGGTGTGGGAGAAGGAGACGGTGCTGCCCGCACTGGGACTGGACATGCCGCTGGTGACAGGCGAGGAGGACACCTTGCCGTTGACGGTGGCGTAGTTGGGCAGGCTGCCCGCCCGGTCTCCCATGGACATCCTCCGCTTCTCTGGTAAGGCCGGTGTTGGGCTCCCTTGTCGGAAGGCAGCGGAATCCGGGGAGGGTGACGTGGCTGGGCTGCTCAGGCCTGGGTAGTAGGCCGGGGAGACGGGGAAGGAGGGCGTCGAAGGAGCCTGGTAGCCTGAGGCACTGCTCTGCCGGGACAGCGTGGGTCTCCGGTCCTCTGGGGTGGAGTAGCCGCCATGGGCCGTGTGCCGGTCCAAGCTGGGGCTGCTGGAAACTGCAGATCCAGACCCTCCCAGGTGCCGGCCCAGGCTGGGGCTCCCAGGGCTAGCTAGTGTGTTGCCATGGAGACCCTGGTGCATGCCAGGGTGCCGGCTCAAGCTGGGGCTCCCTGGAGTGGTCACCATATTGCCATGGAGGCCTGGAACCGGGTGGGTGCCCACTGGGTGCCGACCCAGGCTGGGGCTCCCGGGAGTGGTTGCTGTACTGCTTGGGTGACTGGAAACCGTGTTACCATGGAAACCAGAGCCCGCTGGCCCCATCACTTGGCGGTGGCTCAGGCCAGGGCTGCCAGGGGCAGCCATGCTAGGGTTGACGGCCCGCCTGCCGAAGCCAGGGCTCGGGGGAGTGTTGGTGCCCACCGTCCTGTGGCGGGTCTGAGGGCTCCCGGATCCTGGGTGCACACTGGCCACGCTGAACTGAGCCCGGGCCTGGCTTTCTGGAGAGGAGTTGAACTGCTGAAGGGAGTAGTCGGGGCTGCTGTAGCTGCTGCCCATGCCCGGAAGAGGAGAGGAGCTCTGGTAGCTTCTCTGTACCACAGGGCTGGGCTGCCCCAGGCTGCCAGAGCGGAAGCCGGAATCCAACAAGGGCTGGGTGGGAGTCCGGGGGCCCTGCTCGCTGCTCTCCCCAGACGGGAAACTCCCTACCGAAGTGCTGGAGAGAAAGAGATGGCGGGTTAAGGGGTCACAGCGGCCATTAGTAAAGGGTAGATGTTCAGTGATGCCCAACCTTCCCTCCAACCACTAATAGCAGCTGTACAAGCTGCACTGGCACTGGGAGGGAATGGCAGGACTTGTATACATCGCCTTATAGGACCATCAGAAGAAGCTGAGGGTCAGGACCACACAGTTCCCAAAAGCCTAGAGTGTCCACACCACTGTGTATGACGGAAAAGCCCACCTCTTCCCCATTGTACCTCGTAACTCTTAAAATGTTTTGTTATTGTTGGAAGGGGATGTGCAGAAGGTTACACTTACATAAGTCAGGTAATGAGTCCATTTCCTTTTGGACAATGTCACCCTTTCCCTTGCTCTCTCCTTGTTTTTTCCCCTCCTGGCCCCACCTCCAAGTTGTATAGTTCATTTCCATGCAAACTCTTGAGCCATAAATCAAGGCAAAGCCACCTCCACCATCAAAACTGAACATGGACGACCTGGTGGGGGCCTCCAGCAGCACAGAGATTCATACCGGAAAGGAAGTCAAAACATCTGGAGTGCTTCCACAAAGGCCCACCTTGACTCAGTTTCCCCAAGTATGCCATCATTAAGTGGCTGGGAAGAGGACTAGCCAAGCATGCTTGTTAAACTCCAGAGAAAGCAGCCTCTTGCTCACTTGCTTAACCAGGTCCCACCTTGATCTGGGTGGGACTCAGTATGCTGAGCCCAAAGTGGGTAATGTGGCTAAGGCAGCCTACGAGGTCTTCAAGGGAGATGGGAGATGGGAGTAATGAGGAGTCTGTAGGACCCATGAGATGTCAGAAGGGGCAGGGCAGGCTTCCCTCCAGGCCTTATCCGAGCAGATCTCCACTTTTCTTTCCTGTGTTTCCCCTGGCCCATGGCATGGAATCTTCCTCATTCCTAAAACCCAGCTAAGCAGCTTCTCACTACACCTCAAATCTGAGACCTCCTTCTGCTGAGCCTGTCTGCTCAGGCTGTCCACTTCCCCTGCCCAACCCTGGCCTTTCCCCTCGGTCTCACTCACTCAGATGAATGCATGCTGTCTATCCATCAGGATGACCTCCACCCCCCTGCAAAGACTATATGCCCCAGGCTCTCTCTCTCTCTCTCTCTCTCTCTCTCTCTCTCTCTCACACACACACACACACACACACACACACACACACACACCACACCCCAGTCCTCCGCTCCTCTGTACTAGCCTTCTAAATTGTCCCCCTTCTTCACTGAGTAGCATCCTGCTTTTCTGTGGGACTTCCCACCAAATACTTCCAGCCCTCAGAATCCCTTCTGCTTCCTCTCAGAGAAATAACAACCTTTTCTCAGAGTCACAAGCACCTTCTTCTCTACTAGCTCTGGGCACATGTGGCTGTCATCCTGTGAAGAGAGGCACACCACACAGGTCTTGGGGACAGATAGAGATGTGGGCTGGAGAACCATAGAGCTGCCTGCTGAGGCCTGTTTCAGTTACTGCTCAGCCAAGGAATCTATCTTAAACAAGCTACTTCTCCTTCGTGCTTCAGATTCCCTTCTCAGATGTAGGGATAGAAATAGTAATTAGTTAGATGCTAGTGGCTCACACTTTTAATCCTAGCTACTCAGGAGGCTGAGATCTGAGGATGGAGGTTCAAAGCCTGTGAAAGTCTGTGAGACTCTTATCTCCAGTTAACTAGCAGAAAACCAGAAGTGGTGCTGTGGCCCCAAGGGGTAGAGTGCAGCTGTGAGCAAAAAGAGCTCAGGGACAGTGCCCAGACCCTGAGTTCGAGCTCCATGAAAAACAAACAAAAACTAATTATCGCCCAGGATCAGGGTGAAGAGTAAATAATCATGCACAGCACTATACAGAGCCCCTGGCATCAGAAGAGCAACCACTGCATATGGGCTCTTACTGGTGGGTTGGGTTGGGAGGGGTTTAACTTTGGGGCCAGGGCACACTGGTCATGGCTGCAGGTGGATCTTAACCTCAGGGGAAAGACTGCATCTTGCATGTGTACATAGATGGCGCCTTTCACTCCTTCTGACACCATGGTGGGTGGGAGGAATTGAGCACTGCCTGGGAATTACAGCCCAACCATCCTGGCTTTTCTAAGGTGCTTAAGTGGTTTTCCAGATGCAGCAAGCTGGATGCAATTTCTGCCCAATCTCACCTGGGCAGATCCCAGAAACCCCCCTCACCCGTCTCAGGCCAGGAACGTCTTCCACGAAGCTCCCGGCACACCTGGCTTACCTATCAGCACTGAGGATGGGGCTGCTGGTGGAGAGAGGGCTGGGGGACACAAAAGAGCCACCCAGGGTCCCGTTCCTCAGGGGCATCTCATGGCTGTAGGCCTGGGCAGCTGGGGCGCTAAAGTTCTTGGGATCAGCATCCTGAGCTCGAGGCCCAGCCACTGCTGTCCGTGCCACTGACTCCACATAGCTCCGGGGCTCTGGAAGAGATAAGAGGACAGAGATTGAGCACAGGATGTTGTGGGTGCAAAAAATACAGCGTCCCCCAGAGTCCAGTCTGGGGGAAAAGGAGGATAGGGACAGCCCCTACAAGACACTACAGTACCTTGCCAGGATTCCCATCTTCCCACATCCAATGTGCCCCAAGTCTACCTTTAACCAGAGTCTGGCACTGACAAGCTTTCAAGAATCATGATTTCCAGAGCCGAGGCTCTGCCTCAGCACACGGCCATCAGAGCCTCTTCCCCAAGAGTGAGGACACCTGTCCACGCTGGCCCTTTTCTTCCATGGCCCTGCTGCCCAAACCCCACACTCCCCTAGGTAGCACAGGAGTCTGGGCCTCTAGCGCACAGTGAGACCTCTTGCCTGACCTTGCCTGTACCTCAGGACCTCACCGAAGTCATCCACATGCTCACTTGCTCGCCTAGCAACAGGTCTGTGTTACTGAGTCATGGCCAGTGCTGGCTATTACACACTTTCCAGCTCCGTCTCTGCCAAGACACTTCCACCCACCTCCACCTGACACACTCCGCATTCCTCAGTAGACTGACGCCAGAGACACGGCCAGGCCCTACCCAAGCCAGGCATTCGGCACCACCTCTGGAATTCCCATTGCACGAGGCTCTGGACAGAGGACATGGACACACCTCAGCTCCACCGGGTACGGTACTCAGCCTAGGAGGGGGGAGCGGGAAGGCCACTGGAGAGGAAACAAAGGTCTGGAGAGTGAAATCACTGGAGGCACAGCTAGGACCCAGGCCATCCGACTCACAGTCCAGCACTTGCCTATCACAGCCAGTGCCTCATATCAAACAGAAAAGAGGGAGCTGGGCATTGGGTTTCTCTCCACGAGCATGATCGAGGATGGACACTGTTCTACCTACCAACGTAGCACCATCCCTGTCAGCTTGGAGGGACAAGGCTGGAGCACAGAGCCTGCTCTGTCACACCTAGGACTTTCACTGAAGCCAGCCCAGGACACCCCATGACCCTGAGGAGGCCGAGTCCTGTAGGCTTGTGGACCAGGGTTGTAATGGCCTGGTTAGAGTAACCCAGGTCTTCCCTCCTAGCCTGGAAGAAACCTCTCAAGAGCAGGGGGGGGGTCCGAAGGAGGGTCACAAGACCTCCTGTGTAGCATCTCTGTCTCTTTCCAGAGCAGCTCCATTCCTGACATCCTACAGCCAGGCCCCTTGTGGAGGTCCATGGTGGGGTAGGCTGGGACAGGGTCCCTGTACCAGACACCCCATCCATGGTGCCACACACCTGTAAACTCAAAGCTGGAGTCTCCTGTGCAGCCTAAGCCAGTTCAGAGCCAACAGTCACCTCATAGAAGCTTTGGGCCAACTTTGCATAGAAGGCCTGTTCTCTGTGTGTCCAGGCCGGCAGGCCCTACAACAGCTAAAGATGCTCAGAAAGTCTCTGCTCTAGGGCTGGGATGCTTGAGCATCTCCAGGGTAGGTCAGATCTCTCCATTGTATGGCACAGCCCTGCTTTGCAATGTGATAGAACTGTAGACCGTAGCTAAGTGAATCCAACCTGTTTCCTCAGCCCACAGAGGGGGAGTGATTTGCCCAGAACACACAGCTACTTGGTAGCCATGGGGACCAGCACCCTAAGTCTCCAAATTCACAGTGCAGGCTCTGGATGGCCTAGGCCAGGCCCACAGTCTCAGAGGGACACCCACTGCTACTCAGCACACCAGCCCGAAGAGCCAGAGAAATGCTATCAGCACAGGGGCAGTCCACAATAGCCAGTGGGAGGCAGGATTTGAACCTTGTCTCGGTCACAGCTACCAATGGGCAGGACTGACCTAGGAACCCAGGAAGGCTGGTCAGAGCCTTCTCATACCCACAGCACATGCCTCTTGCCCTAGGTAATAACCTGGCATGCCAGAAAAGACCCATCAGAGGACGCCCGACTCACAGAAACCCACACAAGATATGGGCCTGAGTCGCCATGCCTTCCTGTCCCTCGCCATCCAGGCTACTCCCTCTAAGCACTTCCTGGGCCTTTTCAGGTCCTCTGTATGGCTCTGCCCAACTCCTCATGGCACACTACAGCCCATCACTCCCACCCAGAGATGGCAAGGGGCATCTGTGTGCCATGGGCTGCTCTCGGGCTCCCTCAGGGCCCAACACCCGCCTGGCAAATGGGTGCCTGGCATGGAGCAGATCTCCAATCATTCAAGACACACGCTCCTCTGGTCTCTGCTGGCTCCTTCGAGATGGGGTGAGTCTCACTCCTTCCACTGCTGGGGTGCAGCATGAAGAGCTTTCCAGCCCTCAGACTTTTCAGTAGTCCATTCAGCTCTCCTGGGATATTCCACTGGAATGGGCTACATACAGCATCTGCCAAGACCCCTACATCGTGACTCCTACCCACATCTCTCTTTGCAAACATATGAGTATCCCTCCTCTAACTGGAAGCTGAGAGAGGGTCCCTCAGTGAGGACACAGCCCTACTGGCCCCACGTGTCCTCCTGGTCTGCTGGCCACCGTGGGGGCTGAGCACCTTTGACCTGAACCTGAGCTTTAGGGCAGGAGAAGGGGGGAAGCAGAGTGGGCTGAAGGACAGACCCCTGGAAGTCCTGAGAGACCAGAAACTCTGAGCTGGCCATGTGTTCAAGGCCTCAGTCTCCTGGGATCTGCCCCAGCCCCTTCAGCTTCCAAACCACTGAACACCAGTCCCCTACACAGGGCAAGAGACTGGACTCAGGGCACTGGATGATTTACCAGGAGAGCAACAGGTGTCTGGAGACAGTCCTGTGGGTTAAGCAGCCAATCGAGCCAAGGCCCCTCAGAGGCCAGCCCCACCCCTGCAGCCCCTACCTTGCTCTACACCTCCCTTCTCTTCCACCTCTGGTTTGTTTTGCCAGTTATGAGGCTTGAACTCAGGGCCTGGGCACCATCCCTGAGCCACTTGAGACAGCTCCACTCCCAGCTTTTTGGTGATTAATTGAGGATAAGAGTCTTACAGACTTTCCTGCCCAGACTGGCTTCAGACCATGATCCTTAGATCTCAGCCTCCTGAGTAGCTAGAATTACAGGCATGAGCCACCACCACCAGGTTCTCTTGCAACTCTTATCCTTCTCAGTCAGCCTCCTCTTCCGGTCCCTCCACTCCCAAGAGACACACAGTCTTCCCTCCCCCATTCCCATATCCTCTGCCCACTGTCCTCAGGCCCTTCGCCATGCCACCTGCTTTCACGAGGTCACCTCTACAATGCTTAAAATCAACCTCACTTACTAGCTCCTGCTTCTGCCTTGGAAAGGTTTTCACACATTCCTTCCCACCTCTCTCTCCTTCCCATCCACCCCCCTCTCCCCCTTCACTTACTAGAACTTTCTGGGACTCAGTGTTCCCCCACTGTGAAGTAGGAACGGGAGGACCCACCTGCACAGCTAGGATGGAATGATGGAGAAGGGATGGATCCTGCTGATTCCTGGTAACTCAAGCTGGCTCAGAGGATGTAGGGCTGACCTAGTCCCTCCTCAGCCTTGCTCCCTGCCTCTCCCACCCTACCTTCTCCTCCAGTCCCCAAGCAGCTGACCCACAGGCAACAGAGCTGGGAAGGGCAGGAGAGGTGGGGTCGGGGAGGGTGCTGCATGGAGAACATTCCAGAAGCCCGAAGCCATTCCAAGTGGCTGTTGGCGGCTGAGAACAGCTGGAGGCCCAGGGTGACTTGGCTCCTCAGCCCAGGGACTGGCAGCTCTTCACCCACACCCTCAAATGCATTTCTGACTCCCTAAAAAATAAAAAACATTGGCTGGGGCCAAGGGACCTACACTGCCTACCCTGAGGAAAATAAAGACATGCAAGAGCTGACAGGGTAGCTCCCTTGCCTAGCGTGTGCAAGGTCCTGGGTTCAAGCCCAGTCTGTAAACAAACACACAAAATCCCAAGTCTCTACTAGGTGCTAGCTCACACCTGTAAGACTAGCTACTCAGAAAAGTCATGGTTCAAAGCCAGCCTGGGCAGATAATTCTGAGAGCCTTACCTCCAATTCACCAGCAAGAAGCCACAAGTAGATGCTCCACAACTGATGGAGAGCTTTGAGCAAACACTGCTTTGAGCAAAACAAAGCCAAGCAAGAGGGAAAGGCCCTGAGTTCCAGTACCAACACAAACAACAAACAACCCATCCACGTCGTAGGGTTATTTTTTTTTTTGTCAGTTGTGGTCCTTGAACTCTGGGCTTGGGCGCTGTCCCTCAGCTCTTCAGCTCAAGGCTAGCGCTCTACCACTTGAGTCACAGCGCCACTTCCAATTTTCTGATGATTAACTGGAGATAAGAGTCTGTTGGACTTTCCTACCCAGGCTGGCTTTGCACCTCGATCCTCAGATCTCAGCCTCCTGAGTAGCTGGGATTACAGGGGTGAGCCAACAGTGCCTGGCTGTTGCAGGGATTTATGGCACTCCTTCCCACCCCAGATCAGCACCAAGTTGGGGCGCCAAGTTCATGTTCCTGTTGGATTGCTCTCCTCCTCGTCCCTTTGCTGCCTCACTCAGGGCCTGTCCTAGAGTCGCTCTGAGCCGCCCCTGGGGCCATGGGATTCCACAGAGCACCCATCCACCAAGCCTCTCTGAGAAGGAAGAGGATATTTCTGGTCCATGATCTCTCCCTGTGCCAAATGCAGCCACACCCCATCTCTGGGACAAACAGAATCGGGCCTGAATGTTCACAGCCAAGGAAGCCACTGCCCACGTCCTCTGTATGTCCTCCCAGTAGCAGGACTGCTTCTTCACCTTTCCATGGAGGAGGAAGAACCCTGGTCCCCACACCCAACAGAGTCACTGTTGGGATGTTGAGGTGTCTCTTCCGTCCAGTGGAGGCACTGGAAAGGGAAAGCTTCTGTGTGGTGATTTAGCTCAGGCTCCTAGCTGTGTCCCTGACCGAAGGAATCATCAAACTGCCCTAAAATGGGATTCCTAGCCCCCTTCCCCCCAGGCGGCCTGGCTCCTGCCTGCTTTAGCCTTACTTGATATCACACGCACACACCTTACTAAATGCTCGAGCCTCACTGATTTCTCAGTTCCTAGAAAATCACACACTACCCCTTCCCATCCCCAGGGCCTTTGCACCTGGCATGTTCATCTGATGTTCTCCCACTGGGATTTTACCAAGTTGATCCCACTCATCCTCACGTTACTCCTTTAGCCTAGGGTTCAGTTCTTTGTCATCAGGGCTCATGAACCGTGTCCCTCCCCTCCAAAGCACTGCATGCATAATTCTGGTTCTTGTTCACACCAACTCTCTATGAAATTAGCAACCATATCTCACACTTCACTTTATTATGTCTCCAGAGCCTGGCTTGTAAAAGGAACTCAAGATAATGATCGAATCCATGAATAAAAGAATGCACAGATGTAGTTAGCACAGTGACTTGCATGGAGCTGAATAATTCTGCCCTGAATTGGGTATGCCTCACAGGCTCCTTCTTCTTTATTTCCCATCAAAGTATCAGCAGGGAAAATCAAATAACACTTCTGAGGGTCAGCAAAGAATGTGCTCCAGCCTGACCCAGGAGGTGGGGCCTGAGTCAGGAAAGCTGGCACTGGCTGCCCCAGCCCTGCTCTCTGCCCTCACCGCCCAACTCCCCGGGCAGCAATTCCAACGCCCACACTGGAATCCCAGGGCCTGGCGCCTGGAGGCAGGAGAAGGGCTCTGAAATGGCCCCTGATTAGGAGACAGGAGAGCCAGCACCACAGTTGCTTCTGCTGTTGCCTACCTGTGTGTGACCTTGGACAGATTCCCCTCTGCTGCCTGGAACACAGGCCTGAGCTCCAGATCCCCGACAGCCCTGGTGTGGCTGAGTGGATTCCCAGGAACCTCTCCCTGCACTCGTGGGGCTCTGGGTCAGGTGTCTGGGTTAGGTGTTGGATGGTGGGGACTCATGGTCTTATAACAGAGTCCTCTGTGAGTTCTACTTGGCATGTCTCAGTTCCTCCAGAGAAAAGCCGCAGATCCAATGGCCCCTGTGTGTCTGTGTGTGTGTGAGTGTGTGTCTGTCTGTGGGGTGACCCAGCTCTGGGACCTCATCAGAGTGAAACTGAAGTCCAGGCAGGTGGACTTTAGCCTACCTCTTCCAGCCATGACCTCCCAGCCTCACCGCACTGTGGCTGTCTGGGTCTAGCCTGGGAAAAGGCCTTCCCTGGGCAGGAGGCTGGAGCAGCTTAGCCCTGGCCTCACCTTCTAAGTTCCATGGCCAAGCTGCTGTGTTCTGCAGCCCCCAGGAAGCCTGTGCTCAGGCAGGCCAAACAACAGGCAAAGGCTTCTGGGAAGCTCCTGGAGGAAGCAGGGTCAGAGGCCATGCTGCTTTGGGGTTGGAAAGTCAAGGTAATGATTGCAAAGGGGAGTAGGGCTCAGAAACCCAGACAGAATCCAAGGCAGCCAGCCACTGGGAGACAGGGCCCAGGTGGGGTCAGCACCCACCTCATCCACCCATGCCTGGTGGAGATGGGAACACCAATGCCCAGAGCCACACAGGGGCCAAGGAGGCCGACACACTTCCTTTACCATCGCCCTGAGGCCTTATCTCACTCACTAGGACTTGTCCCCCTCTGCTTGCCCAGAGCACAGCGTAGCGGTTCTACCCACCCCAGTCATGCTGGGGTACACAGCCATGCCAACTCCTTGAAATTCTGCTCAGACATCATATGTACACGGCCCCAAGTCACTTTCCTGAAAGCTCCAATGGGATCTTCTGAGGTCCCAGGAAGATAGACTTCTGCTCTCTGTGTGGACAGAAGGGCAGGCAGGCGCTTCCAGAGGACAGATGCTGGCTATGTGACTGACTGGCTCTGAACCAGGGCAATTGTCCCCCTAAGGGACACTAGCCATAATGGAAGCATCTTTGGTCATTACGACTGGCCGAGTGCTGGCATCTAGCAAGAAGAAGCCAGAGACAATGCCAAAGACCCCACAGTCCACAGAGCAGCCTACCACCAGGGCTACGGGGGACAATCTCTGCTCTGTCTGCCATGATATGCGACCTGAGCCCCATCTGCCTGTGTATGTGCCACGTTCTGGGACGTGGCACTACCCCTGGGACAGGAAGCAGTAGGAGAGGTATCTTGGTCAACAAGGTGACACCTTGCTGGTGCCTGGGCACTGGGTGTGCCTGAACTGGTGCCCATTGGCCACGATCTCCCCAGGCAGTGCCCAGGGTGACATGTCCTTGCCAAGGGGTGGGGACAAGAAGGCTGTGTGCCTGTCATTTGAGATCAGGTAAGAAGATAGATACCAGGCTCCAGGCTGGTCAAGCCTGGAGTGTGTGGAAAGCCATTCCCAGTCTCAGAGTGCAGGAAGCGGCCAACCAGCAAGCTGTGCTTACCTTCTGGAAGCTTAGGAGCCTCCTTGCCCTCATCTTCCTCTGAGGGAGGAGGCAAGGGGGGAGGAGAGGCAGGAAAGAAGACCAGGTGATCAAGATGAGAGAAAGAGCCAGGAGGAAAAAGAGAGAGACACACAGAGAGATATTGGTTAATGAGAATGCATTCTAGAGAACGAATTTGCTGAGAAAAGGGAAGCAGGAAGGCCGAGGAAGAGGAGCCCATGGGGAAGGCTGAAGTCCATCCTGCAGAGCATCCCAGAGTCTAGGATGCTTGGATTTAGGCTCTCCGTGGTCTCTGCCTTTCACAGCCAGGCCTGTGGCTGTGTCGGGAGCAGCAAGCGCTGGACTGGTGACAGGCAGCCCCACCCCCTCCTCTCTGGTGGCTCAGTGTCCCTGGCCATGCTCTCCCGTGTTGGAGGCTGTGCCCAGCCAGTGTCTGTGTGGCTCACCAATGCATGCCATTGCCCTCCTACCTGGCTGGATGAGTCTTCTGGCAACTAAGGAGAAAAGGCAGAGTTGACCCCAAGAGTCCCAGCTAAGCCCTAAAGCCAGATTCATTTTCTAGAAGCCATACTTCAGGCTTTCCAAATCACAGTTAAAAACCCAGACCTCTACGGTCCCCAGTGTCTCTAGGTCTGGCTGGGAAATGGCCAGGGGAAGCGGGAGCCCAGAAGTGACCACCCTGCTGGGCAACATCTTCTGCACAGGCCCAGGACTCTGTCCTCTGCTCCGTAATCAGACCAGGCTACTTGACCTCAGGGAGGTCGGGGTCAGCCTAGCAGTCCCTGGGGTCCAGCTCCCATCCTCAACAGTAGGCTCAAATGCTGCCAGCAACTGGGATATGGGCAAAGCGATGGAGGAGAGGCCACCTTCGAATGGCAGAGCCTAAGGCAGGGGAGACCCAGGGCTGGCTAGGTGGCAGATGGTGGTAGCTGCTGTTCAGTGATAGGTTTTTCCCAGAGAGGCACATGAGGAAAGCAGTCCAAATGCCAGGGATCTGGCTCAGAGCAGAGGCTGCTGGGCCACAGACGGGGGCCCTGGCACAGGCTGGTAATGGCTGCACACTGGATGGGGGTGGGACAGGCTTCCAGCAGAGAGCTGGATGATTGCAAGGAAGCCTTGCGTTCCCAAGGCCATCCAGGCAACACTAAGGCAAAAAGGCTATAAAAGGATGCCACCCACCCCCGGACCTGGCATCCGGGTGGCACCTAGCCACTGCCACCTCACCCCCAGCAACCCTGAGAAGCTCCACTCTCGGGGGGAGGGGGGAGGGGGGGAGATCCTCCCATCATACCCCCTGCCCAGGACACAAGGGCCTCCTCCCTTTCACCTCCCTCATCCAACCCCCCTCTACCAGCCAGCCACTCACCGCCTGTGGGGTGCAACAGGATGTCTGCTGGGTTGTGGGGCTTCAGGCCCAGAGCAGACAGGGGCGTCTTAGCCAGACCAGGAGGGGAGCGTACTGTTTGGAAAGAAAAGGAGGAGACACAGGAATGAGGGTGTAGCTAGAGTGGGCTAGACAAGCTACAGGGAGGGGAGCATGCTGGTGGGGCTGGGAACAAGGGAGACAGCCCGAGTCCCAGCCGCTCCCACTCCTTCCCCAGTCTCCGTGTTTCTCCACATGTCAGCAGTTTCAAGGACAAGAAGAGAGTCAGAGGGCAAGGTCTCAGTCCCAGCCCGGGCCCCACCCAACCTTGAGGGAGTCATTTCTATCCCAGGCCCTTGGTCTCTTCTGACAGCCCCTTTATGTTTTAGAAGCTTACAGCACACATCTAGGCTCCTTCAAATATCTCTATCTTTCTCTAAAATACTCTATTTTCCCTCCTACCCCACTCATGCCCCAGCACCTTTACTCCAAACACACACACACACACACACACACACACACACATCTGCACATACATGCACACATATAGTGTTTGTAAGCCATGTACATGAATAGACTCAGAAGAGGACAGGCAGAAATGGAATCTTAAGAGGACACATGCTAAAAAATTGTAAGAAGGGAAAAAGAGATCACAGGCTGGAATTTTCCAGCCCTGAGATCAGAACAGCCATCAGTCCTACATGCCCCTTACAAATCCCAGCAGGCAAGATCTCAGTGCCGGGCTCTGTATCCCAAGCCTGGGGGCTCAGGGTGAAGGAGAAGCCCAGGCAGTGCTCCACCAGGAACACCAGCTCCCTGCACAAAGCCTGGGCTTGTCCTGAGCTGCCCATCTGGGTTACAAGTGTCACCTAACACACAAGGTCAGAGCGGGCTGCTGGCCTTCCCAGCTGGGGACACAGCCGAGTGGCCTGGTCACGAGACGCCTCAGTGGCAGCTGCCTCCTCACACGGGAGAAAGGAAAGAAAGGAACTCTGGATCTCTGATCGGGGAGCTCAAGACCTTGCAGAGGCCGTAGCCCGAGGACCCTGCTGCTGCTCAGCGTCCTGGATGGACTGGGTGGGGCCTCCCCCTGTGCTCTACCCAGATGCCCAGTGGACAAATGACGAACAAATATACCACTCCAAAATGCCAGGAAGTCTAGGCTTAACTCCTCTGCCCACACCACCTCCCCACCCTATTGCCTCCTGCTCACCCCTCATGTTTGCCAAGTGAACCCCTAGTGATGTCTGCCAAGTGAACCCCTCCCTGTGCAGCCTGATGATGAAACAAATGCCCACCCAGCCTGAGACCAGCGTGCAGCTCCAGTTCATTCTGTAAACGCCCACCGAGCAGGTCCGTAGAGGGCAGGGGACCCCGTCAGGAAAGAAGAGGAGTCAGGTAGCCCTTCCTGCCAAAACAAGAAGGCGATGGCGCCGAAGCCAGGCAGCTTTCTGCTTCCTGAGAAAAATTCCTTGTGTTTCTCCACCTTCCAGCCTCTCTCCCCAGCCCCATGTGTTTATGAAACCTCTGACTTATTCTTATCCCCAGTGTACTGAGAGGAAAGGGCAGAACCGAATTCTTGTACAGCCCGAGTAGTTTACACCCTCCACATACTCTCAAGTATGCCAGGCCCCAGGGTTAGTCAGTCTGGATGCTTCAGCTGGTGTGGCTTTATCCTGTAGATTGCTCAGGCCTGCAATCATGAGTCCAAGATGGCGGCTATCAGCCCAACACTTGAGGTGAGTTAATCTACTCCAAGATACACAGCCACATTCAAGAAGAGTATAAAGTAGCTCTCTTTTGGGTTAATTTCTTTGTTTATGTGCCCTTACTAAGGCTTGAACTCAAGGCCTATATATTGACCCTTACTTTTTTCACTCAAGGCCGGTGCTCTACTGCTTGAGCTCTACTTCCAGCTTTTTGGTGGTTATTTGGAGATAAGTATCTCATGGACTCTGCTTCTCAGGCTGGCTTCACACCACAATCTTCAGCTCTTAGCCTCCTATAGCTAGGAGTACCAGCATAAGACACTAATGCTGATGTTTTTGTTTTTTGTTTTGGGGTTTGACAGACGTTCACTATGTAACTCGATCGGACCTCAAAGTCCCAATCCTACTGCCTCAGCCTCCCAAGTGCTGGGATTACCAATGCTTACTATCATGCGTGGATCATTTTTATATCAATAAAACTAATAGCTCAACGTTTTCCACTGAAGTTAAAACATTCTTAAAATGTTTCTTTTTATACAATATTACTTTCATATTTTCCAAATGACTGTAAAAATATCCTAATATTTTATATTGATTTACTTATTGAAATGACAATATTTCAGTTATTTGGTTTGGGGTTTTTGTTTGTTTGTTTGTTTGTTTGTTTTGGTGATATTAGGGACTGAACCCATGGCCATGAGCTTAAAGTATTGGAAGTCATGTCCCCAGTGCTGGCTAGTTAGTTTTCAGATGGGAGTCTCCCTATTTTGCCCAGACTGGCCTCGAGATGCTCCTGCTTTTGTACCCTGGCTGGGTAGCTGGAATTAGAGTCATCTACCATCTTTCCCAGCCTAATATACATTTCAAATTAATTTCACCAGTAAATTTCCTGTCACATTTTTGACTATTGGAGAATGCTCCATTACTCTGTCTCTACTGGGCAGCAGGAGCCACAGCTCCCAGGGCCTGCTGATCAGTCACAATCTCAACCTCATGTGTCTTCAAGATGGCAGCCCACCCACATTCTGCTGGCATGTAGGCCATGGGTTGCTACCACCTCCCACCCCGGGGCAGAAAAGCCAGTCCCCAGGAGATAGATGCAGCCAGCTCCAGTTCAACTTTCCTCACCCATTTCCCCTCTTACAGAAGCAAAGAACAGCTCAACCGAGGCCCAGCTCAGAAGTCCGAATCTCTACTATTCTGCCAGCCCTGGGCCTCTTGCAGGATGGACCCCGAATCCCTCACAGTCTGGCGTGGCTCTGCCACTGCATTTCCCACAACTACATCCCCCAGTTCAGGACACTTCCTGAATAAAAAGGAACACTGCTCACTCCTGAGCTCATCTAGGCCTTTCCTCTTGGCTGTCCTGTTGGGGCCTGCCTCCCCAATGAGTGTGTCAGCGATATAGATGACGTGCCCCTGCCTGGAGGTCAAGGGTGGATGACACCGGACTCTACCAGCCTATGAGCCCGTGTCCTGTGTGTCCTTAAGAGAAGTCACAGAGGCTGTCTGCAATAGACACAGGCAGAAATGGGGAGTCAGAAACAAGGGGAGGGCCAAGTCACAAAGAGTCACACTAAGATGGGGGATCTTTGGAGCCTAAAATGGCAAAAGACTCAAACAACAAAGAAAAGTCCATGGAATGAGAACCCAGGCCCCATGATCAATCTGTCTGGATGCTCAGACACTCAGTGAGTGGTTGCTTCACCCTTAGGTATAGGTAGAAGCTACAGAGAACACAGAGCATTTGGAAGAAATGAAGAAGTAAGAAGCAGCAGATTCTAGCCCGGCCCGACATGCCTGGTACACACCCCCATCGCACCCCCACACAGGCCAAGACTGAGAGGAGGGGCTGAGGGGATGGGAAGACAGGCTTCGCCAGGGTCCTTACCCCCACTGGGTGGTGGGCTGGTTGGGGAGGCTCCCTCCATCTCCTCGAAGGCCTCCTTGTAGCTGTGTAGATGGGGCTGCAGGAGAACAAAGGGGAGGTCCCTGAGGAGAAGTTCATTCCCCTCCAGATGACCTTGGCCATTACGTCAAGTCACACAGCACAATTCCCCTCCCGGGCTGACTCTCCACCAGTGTTCAGGTAAGGTGTCCAGTGGAGACGCCGCCCATGCACAGCCCCACAGCTCTTTATAAAGCATGGGGGCATGGCCGTTTCCAAGGCCATTTCTGCCCATCTGAATTCAGGAGCACCTGCCATGGAAATACTTCAGAGCAGTGCCACTGAGGAGGGGCTGGAGGATGGACAGGGGACTCGGGTTCTACCAGAAAGCAAGGGAGAAACAAAAATGAGCAAAGACCTTTGCTATCCAAAATGACTTCCAAGCAAAGAAGTTACAAGGAAGCTCAATATCATAAAAAGTGGCCCTAGGGCTGGGAATGTGGCTTAGTGGTAGAGTGCTTGCATAGCATGCATAAAGCCCTGGGTTCAATTCCTCAGCACCACATAAAACAGAAAAAGCCAGATGTGGCACTGTGGCTCAAGTGGTAGAGTGCTAGCCTTGAGCAAAAGCAGCTCAGTGACATGGCAAAAAAAAAAGGGGGAGGGCTCATGCTCCATCAACATCAGAATGTTTCAGGGTATACATGTAAAATACAGGTTCCTGGGTCCCAACCCAGCCTTACCTCAGGTGGATTTGGGAATCTAGAGTTTGATCTGATGCCCCAGTGATTTTTACACACACTCAAGTTCAAGACCCAGTGCCTCTGTATCTCGAAACATCTCAGAAATACAAATATTTGAGCATGAAAACTAAATCGTCCAACAGATCCTTGATTTCTGAGAAGGACTCCAAACACATTCCCGCTAGTCTATCGGACTAGGTTTGGAGACTAAAGTCACCTACGTCATCTCCAGGATCCTGATCACCCTCTCAAGAACTCTAAGATTCAAGATGGGAGCACCCATCTCAGCGTTAATATAAGGAGTGGGGACACAAAAAGCTATTGAAGGGAAGAAATGGCCTCCAGATACATGGCCAAGAAGAGACCTTAGGTAAGGATGTGGGGGGTGGAGGCAGGGAAGAGCAAATCGCTGACAAGATGACCACCAGGTGACACGCTGACCACTGACTCCTGGAGGTATTCGGTGGGCTCCACTGCTCTCTGGAGCCTCAGGGTGCAGTTTACAGACTCACCTCTTTGGGCCGCCCTCCGGGATTGAGGGCGATGGTGAGAGCCAGCTCGGGGGAGACGCACTGGACAGGAGAGCGGACCCCAGGGCTGCGGGGGGATGTCGCTTCGGGAGACTGGTTCTCATACTGTCCATCGCTGGCTGCCCGCCTCCTGAGTGGGGCCGGGGGCTCTGCAGGCTGCCTCTCCCGAGCCTGCACCCCTGAAGGAATGGCAGGGCAGGGAGGGCAATGAGCACATTACTTGACAAATGAGTGATTCCCATCTAATTCCCCGCCACACACACCCTCACATAGTCCTGAGAAGACAGGGCTAGCACAGGGGCAAAGCCAGCCAGGATTTCCCTCCCCTTAGCATCTTCCCCAGCCTTCCTGGGCCCAACTCTTGCTCACATCCTAGAGTCTTCTCTGCAGGTTAGGGATCAGCTTTGCCCTGGGCTCAGCCTTCTGTAGGAATCTACTCTATGAAGAGTGGGGACCAGAAGCACAAAGGACTGATACAAGAAACAGATGTTCACTCCTTCCAGCCCCTGGAGGCAGGGGGCCAAAGCTTCTAGACGAGGGAGGGAAGGCAGAGGAAGAGACAGTCTCCAAGGCAACCACATCAACCAACAAGCAACATGGAGCCCGTGGGGAAGAGCTCTTGGAAAGGGCTCAATTGCATCATCTTGTAAATGGTGAAACGAAGAAACAACCAAGTCTTACTTGTTCTGGCATCCTCTCCCAACTGGCTGTTGGGAATGTTTCTGGCCCTCTCCAAGGCCTTCTCCCCAACCATCTCAGGAGCCTCTTATCAACTTCCCCTTTTCTAAGCACTCTCTCCTCTCACCCCAAGGTGGCAGAGGCCCCCACCATGGCCCCCCTCACCAAAGGGCAGGCAAAGAGAAGTCATTGTTCCATCTGCTGGCTGGCTGCACTTCCTATCCTGCTTGCACGGGCTGGGCATGCTGTCAGCCTCCCCCTCTCCCACCCCCCCCCCCTTCCTACAGCTGGACTGAGGCATGGAACCCATTGCCTCATTGAGCTGGCTCCCAGAATCCTAGAAAACTCATATCCTGGAGACCATGACCGAGCCCAATGTCTTCATCACCAGGACTAACCAAAGGTCCTAAGCCACACAGGCTGGGGACCCTGAACACGCATCTGGGACATGTGGGATTGTGTGTATACATGTAGACACACAGATGCACACACACACATAGATTCACACACGTGCACCCATACACTGCTGGGCCCTAGGAATGTGTCAGTGCAGCCAAGCAGGAATCAATCCACATCCTCAATCATCTTCCCATCTACAATGAGCTCTGTACATCCGGCAGCCCCTGGGAGACCCAAGCTGGCCCTATGGCAGCCATGATGAGTGGCGCCAGCTAGGAAACAAACCTTCCTGCTGGTCACAAGCAGCAGGCTGCTGGCTGCCAGGTTCACAGCTGATACTCTAAGACTGCCTCACACAACCCCTGCAGCACACATTCATACGCTCCCAGGATGGGGGCTCCCAGGGCCTGTAAGCATGTCTATGTGCTGACACAACACACAGACATGAAATGCAGACGGCATGGAGGAGGGGGTTTGTACTCAAGTAGTACCTCTGCCTGCCAACTCAACTGAGACCAGGGTCGACTTCTCCCTGCCTCCCGCAAGCTGTCGAAAGCAAACGGGCCCCTAATCGCAGACTGTCCTCATTTGCAGAATAGAGAAATATGTGCGTTCCAAGACGGAGCTGCTGGAAGCATCCACCAGGAATGGAGGAGGGTGTGGCTTGGGGGTAGGGGAGCCATGCTGGCTGCCTCCACCAAGTCGGACTCCTAGGCTTTGGAGGACGTCGTACCGGGCCAGCACCTCAGCCAGACCTGTGGGAGGATGCCTTTAGCCTCAGCCATGCATCCTCCTTCCTCCCACAGCCCCTGACCCACACTCAGTCCTCTGGGGAATGTGGACCAGAGCTGTTGCTGGCTTCGTTCCTGGCACTCACATTAGAGAGAAACAGACACAGCCATTGATTTTCTAACAATGCTGTGACAGAGGAGGATGGCTGGAGAAGGGCGCTGGGGGTGAAGGAATCATCAGGGCTGGTTGCAGTTCCGGCCTCACCCACCTCAGTAGCCTCATTCCTGGTGGCTTCTCTGCCTTGTCAGGGAATGACCTGGTTCCCTATTTGGAGGTCGGATGCTTTAATTTTGCCTAAAATGGACTGGTTCCCTCAGCAGCAGCCGTTGGGAGCCAAGGTGGCCCCTCACATGGGGCTCACCACAGGGCCCTGCCCAGGACAGTCAGCCAGCCACCAGACAGTGCATCCAGCCTTCTTGGTTCTTTTCTTCCCCCGGCTGCCATACGGGAAAAAAGTCCTGACCAGCGCCAAGGAGGAAGGACCAAAAGACCACCAGAGTCAGGGGGCTGCAGGATAGAACCTCCCCATCCCCCACTGCAAAGGGAAGAAGACCCTTACCTTCTACTCCTACAGGCCAGCCCCCTGGGGAGGGTTGCCAGGGTACCCCATGACAGCAGTGGCCTGTCACAGCCACTCACATTCTTTAAACACAGTGTCCCACTGTTGTCCCCCTTGGCAAGCCCAGTGCTACCCTGGAGAGTCTGGAGAGAGAGCCCCTACTCCCCCCACCCTCTCGCTTTCGTCTCTCTAAGGGAGGGGAGCGGGCATGGAGGAGAGAGAAGAGAGCGCCATTGTTCCTAAGCCAAGCAGAGTCGCCTGGACACAAGCTGACAGCCAGTGTCAGAGAGAGAAAACAACCCTCTCATGTCTCAGGGACTGACCGTCATAAAAATAACCTGCTCCCCAGCCCTGCCCTCCACCTGGACTTCCTCAGTCCCCAGCCCCATTATTCTCTCTCTCGGTGTCTCTGTCTCCTACATGCACACAGGCGCAGTGGGCACGCATGCATGTGTGCACATGTGTGTGTGCGCGCACACACACAAACAGAAGGGCAGCAGGCCACTATGATAGTGGAGTCTTTGGGGATGCTGACCCTCTCTACAGTCAGCCCCTACAAACCCCTGCAAGAAATGAGGGGCCCTGAGGAAGAAAGGATGAAAGAGGAACTCTGGAAGGTTCTCTCAGGTCATCTGGAGAACTCTGCCCTCTGCCCAAGGAACCTGAGGAGCAGGAAGCCCTGACAGATCATGACACCTCCTGTCAGAGAGCCTGCCTCATCCTCTATGGCTGGCATTGAGTTCTGCTGTCCTGTGAATGTTGTCACCTCAGCCAGGGACTGCCACACAGCTCCAGACGTGAGGACCAGTGCAGGGGTCGGTGCCACTGCCAAGGAGCCACACTGCCATCAGGATGGGGTTGTTCCCAGAACAGCTCTCTGCCCTGGGCTCCCCTCACAAGAGCAGATAGGAGACAATTGACCCTGCCACCCAATCCACACACTTGCACATGTGTAAATGCACACATGCACACACACATACACACACACACTGCAATTCTGGAAGCTGAAGTCCTGACACATAACTAAACACCCTTTGGAAAAGCACTGATCCCTCACCCAGTCACATGGACAAATACCCTGGTGTCATCACAGCCCCCAGAATGCCCCAGGCTGGTCACCCTCCACCCCCCACAGACCCAGCTCTTCTTTCCAGCCTTCCGATTTCCAAAAGACTGGATTGCTCAGCTCCAGACGGCAGGACTGGGTGTCCGACTGCATGCCCGGGCTCCAGAAGTGGGAGGATCCAGGAGGAAGGCCACCTGCTGGACCAGGGCACCAGAAAGCCACACGGCGACCACACTAGCAGCCCCAGGGCAAGTCATGCCAGCTCCCCTCGGGACAGGATCCCCCACCCAGATCCCGCCAATCATACTCTCTACCGCTGGGCTGAGAGGAGGGCTGAAGTGGGGGAGGAAGGAGGAGGAGGAAGAAGGAGGAGGAGGAATTGAGGGGAGAGGCTGCCTGAGCCATCTCCTAGTTATCCATGAATCAGAACAACAAAGGACCAGGAGGCACTGCCATTGTGGTCCATAATTCCCACATCCCCTCAGCCTCTTCCTGGAGCTCCTCAAGGCCATGGCACTGGGCTAGCTGAATATACTGTCTCTCTGACAGCAGCCTCCAGGTTCAGAGATGGAGGCAAAGACCTGGGGGTTCCTTCCTTAGGCCTAAGCCCCTAAGGCCCTGCTTTTTCTAAGAGGCTGGGAGTTATGTGAGTGGACATCATTGCCTCAAATCAAAAACCAGACCCCCAGTGAGGCATTGGTAGTTCCTACCTGTAAGCCTAACTACTCAGGAAGCTGGGATCTGAGGTTCCTAGTTGGAAGCCAGCTGAGCAGGAAAGTACAAGAGACTCTTATCTCCAATCAACTATCAAAAAAGCAGGAAGTGGAGCTGTGGCTCAAGTGGCAGAGTGCTAGCCTTGAGTGAAAAAACTAAGGAACTCTGCCCAGGTCCAGAGTTCAAGACCCGGTAGTGGCACACACAATAATAATAATAATAAAATAATAATAATAATAGCAACAACAATTATCAATTTCTTTTAAAAAAGAAGCAGGACCCTGATGCAGGCAGGACTACCATACCACTGAGCAAAATGTGTATGCCAGGCCTTGAACCTCTATTTCCAGATTGGGAAAATGAACTCCAAAGAGGTTAAAAAACAAAAACAAAAACCTTCCCAAGGGCACAGGCAGGACCAGGGCCACAACTCAAGCTTCTGACTCTTGCCCATGAGTCTTAGCGTCAGAGTCAGCAGGGGCCCCCTGTCCTGTCCGGGAGATGCGCCCTGCTCAAGAGTGGTCAGAGCAGCGGGAACTGGGCCACCCACCACTCCCTGTCCTGTGCCTGCTAGCCCCACACAAAGCCCAGCCTGGCTCCTGGAGAGAGACCTGGCCCTGCAGCCCAGCCTGTCTACCTGAGGCGGCTAGTGGGAACCGTCCGGAGACCTCACTGGGGAGGCCTGTGTCTCCCCCCCCCCCGCCTCCCCGGGGACCCTGAAAGCTCAGACCCTGTTCCCGCAGGCAAGGCCATGCATCCATGCAGGAGGGGGCCTGGGCTCATGCACAGAGGAGGGAGAGGGAGCTGGACCGGGTGGAGAGGGAAAATGGGCAAAAGGAGAGGAAACAACAAGGAGGGATGGAAAGGGGACAACTTCTAAAGAAGGACAGGAGGGAGGGAGGAAGGGAGGGAAACAAGAGCTACCAAGGGAAGGGGGAGAGACCAACCAGAAAGCGAGGCAGCTCGGTGGAGAGGAGGGGGCCGGAAGCTGCCCCTCTGAGCCAGGCCCTGAAGTTTGGCATTGTATGCTGCCCACCCGCACCCCAGGGGAGCCGGCAGGAGGGGAGGCAGGCGGGAGGGAGGTACCAGGCAAAGCCAGTGACCCACCAAGGGCACAGAGAACAGGTGGACACAGGCATGGGAGGGAGGGGGAGGGAGGGAGGCAGAGGACAAGGCATTAAACAAGACGAAACAAAACAAAAACAAAGAGAAAAATCAAGATTAGTTGATGTTCTGCCTATGGATCTGGCCACACACTGGCGGGAGGAGGGGAGTTGGACAAGAAGAGAGGGTAGCTCGGGGTCACGCTCCTCACAGAGCACTGGGACCCTAGTTTCTAACCCCACAGCGGGAGAAGAAGATGGCAGCCCAGGACCAGAGATTTCAGTCTTGTCACTCCTCCCCTCCCCTCCCGGCTGCTTCACCCCCAGCCTGGCCCATCTTCCTTTCTGTCATGGGTCACCTGCCTGTTTGGACAGGGAGTCCTTGCCAGTCTTCATTGGCTCTGCCTTTGTCCCTGCCTTTGCTTTTCTTCTCACATTCCTGTCCAGTCTGTCCCTAAATCTCATTGGCTTCACTGCTAAAATGTGTCTACACTCTTCCTCCCATCCCCACCACTTCCTCCCTGATCAATAGCAGCAGCCTCCAACCTTGCCCATCCTTTTCTATCCTGGACACACTGGTCCTTTGAAGAACAAGCCAAATGATGTCACCCTGTGGACCAAATCCTCCCCAAGACTTCCCATCCCACAGAGAGCAAAAAGCCAAAGTCCTTAGGATCAACTACAAGACCAACAGGAAGCTAGCCCCATTCCCGTTCTCTTTCATTCCTCACCTGCTCCAGCCACAGCAGGCACATTTCTGCCCCCAGGCCCTTTACACTTCCTAGTCTACGTAGTACGTTCACTCACTGCCCATGAAATCCCTGACTATCCCATATCAAATGCAACACACACACACACACACACACACACACCTTCAAACCCTCACTGATAGGCCACTGTTTTATCTCTATGGGGCTGATCAGCCATCTGAAATACACACACACACACACACACACACATACACACACACACACACACACACACACACACATATTTGCTTCTTTGGGCAGTGTCCAACTCAGCTGTAGGGAAAGGTGTTATGTACTGCTTGTCACCATTTTTCCAGAACCTAGCCTAGCAAGTCGCACAGACTAAAGGTGCAGCGCAGCAGCCTTGCCATGTTGAATGGGCCTTGGACTCAGCCTGATATTTATTTTTAAAAATGCCAATGCCAACTCTGAAAGAGTGACCTCAGTATTTCTCTCTACATTTATCCATCCTTTATAACTTCATCAAGAGGTATCAGAGCTCCTGGGTGGGTTTTACTTAGCCCCCTAGGCTAGTAGACCCATCCCCCCACCTCCTTAGAGACTTCATCCTATCCATCTCCATCATTTTCTTTCTTCTTATCCTTCCTTCTCCAGCCTCCCCCTCCCCTCTCCTCATCATCTACCTAAAAAACAAGTCTCGTGACTCTATTAACAGTTCCCAAGATTGAGCTGCCCTCTTTAACGCTGCTCTCTCTCCTTTCATCAGAAAACCGCTCTAGAGCACAGGTGGCCTTCACTCTCTCTCCACTCCCTCCTCATCCTTCCAGGCCTGCTTCCTGTCACCAGCACTCTACTCACACTCGTGTTTGAACATCACTGGGCCACCTAATTCAACAGCCTCGTGGCTCTTTATTCTCCCCATCAGACTTGGCAGATGCCATTGAAATCTCCCCCCTCCTCCCAAAATCCTTTACTCTCTTGACTTTGGATGACACAGTGTCCTTGTCTCTGTCACCGCTCTGAGCTTTCTTTCACACATCCTCTCAGCCTGGTCTCCTTTCTCCCTCCTCATGGCTACACTCTCTCAGCTACGTCAAAGAGACCTCACCACACCCACAGTTCACTCTCCACTCCAAAATCCACACACAGCTCTTCCCATCCTGCTCTGCGCCAATTCCACAAACCCATATCCTTTGCCAGACTCGAGAGACCCACCCAGTAAGCGTCACCATGCACCACGCCTGCTCCAGCTCTTCTTCCCCCTCTGCAGGTTAAAGGACCCTCGTTCTATCATCTTCACTGTCTCCCTCCCTGTCACTCACCACAGCCAATAAGTTTGTGACTGCCTTGGCTCTGCCGTCATAGTACCCATGACATCACTAGGTATTTTCCATGCCCATGGTAAGCACCCTAATCCAGGGCTCCAGGACCAGGGATAGCTAATAAGCTGTTAGCATCTCCCCTTCAAATCACACCCATTTTCATCCTTCCTGCCTAGACCTACCAGATATATCTGCAAGAAGCACAGCTCTGCTCATGGTTCATCCTCCTGATGAAGACACCTAATGGCTGCCCCCACCACTGCTAGATAAACTGCAGTTTAGTAATTAAAAGACATCCTGATGCCAGGCACCAGCTGCTCATGCCTATCATCCACGTTACTCAGGAGGCTGAGATCTGAGAATCAAAGTTTGGAGCTTCTGCCTCCCGGGAAGACAAATTAGAAAGACTTATCGACCATGAACCAGCCAAAAGTAGGACACAAGTAAATCAAGTAATAGAGCACCAGCTATGAGTGAAATGGCCAAGAAAGAGGTTAAGGTTGTGAGTTCAAGCCTGAGCCAGGTCCTTCCTGAGACTTCCTGTCATGGCCTACAGTACTATCCATCCACTGTTAGCCCTACAGATACTTCCTGTGCTTTCTTGTCCTCACCATGGGCCTGCTTTACCCAGGGCCCTCACCCACTTTCAAAAACACTTCCATCTCCCATGGTTTGGTTCAACCATGCCCCCATGCTCCTCCTCATCCTCGCTAGCTCTCCACTTCTCTTCCCCAGATCTTTCTCTATACCTCTTATAACAAAGGAATACAACTTCATCTTTTCTGTTTCCTTCTTGTGGTTAGTTTTGCTTTGCTTGATTTTGGTGCTGGCAACCAAAGCCAAAGCCTTGTGCGTACAAGGCAAGATTTCTACCACTTGAACTATATCCCTAGACCATAACTTAAAATTCCTGTTCTTTTTCTCTCCTAAATGCCAGACTCTAAGAATAAGACCCATATCTGATTTCCAACCTGCACTGAAATTTCCATCATTCACCTAAGAAGTGTCCAAAGACATAGCCCATCAGTCTAATCACTGATCAGAACTTCAGACACCTCCATTGGATTCCCAACTCTAACTCTTATTATTTCTTTGTCTTGTCTTTTGCATTGGATGACACTTCCAATACAGTATTACATGATAAGGATAGTCATGTTAATAATGATATTCGATACTTATGTTGCCCATCCCTAAGTGTGATGTGCACTATAAATAAGTCTACTCTTTCCCAAATTAGGAAAGATGTATCCTAGCTTTTGAGACAGTCTACAGTAAGAGCATTGGAAGGAGGATTGCATTTCTAAAATGTAATCTCTCCTCAATAAAACCAAGAGGAAAAGGGTTTCTGCTGACCAAACAGCCAGGGAGGGTCCCTCATACCAGGGACCCAGAAGTGGGGGTCAACAAAAGTCACAGCCCCATCTAGAACAGCCCAGGCCACACTTCACCCCTAGAGACACAGAGTTGTTTCTGGGTCCTGACTGCAGGAAGCAAGGCCCTGACTTCCAGCTTCCTTGGTGTAAATACATCTGCAGGCCACTCAGAGTGGAACTGGGGATTCTCTACTCCAAAGTGCAGGGGCAGAGCACCCATGCCCCCACACCCAGTCCTGAGCTCAACACAGAGCCAGCTGGCCTCCTGAGCAGCTTCCCCTAAATCATGGCCCATCCCCAGGGAGGGTGTCTCCCTCCCTCCCTCCCTGCAGCTGGCATGGTGACTCAGAGACCCCTAAATTTAGGAAAAGGGTGGAGGGCAGAGCCAGCTGATCTTCCTCCCCTGGGAACTCCTACCACCCAGTCAGCTGAGGAGCAGGGCTCAAGGCCCACCTCTCCCAGCCCCACTCTCTGAGCCACCCCTGCCCTGGGCCCTACCTCACAACAAATCAGCCTAAAGGACTTCCTGCTCAGGCTCTCTGTCCTGGTGGACCAGTCAGAGAGTAGGGCCAGTGAGTTTTCTCTCTTGGGTTAGATATTCATTTCTCTCCCCTCTCCACCCCCCAATAGGTTCTTCCGTCTGTCCTCTACTCTCCTCTCTCTCCAGCTAGCTTTCTGGATCTCTCTGGTATGAAAAGGAGCTTTGTTTCACATACTGAGCTGGTTCTAGCAAGGGCAACACAACAGCTGACCGAGAAGGGAGACCTTTCCCCAATGACAAAATTCCTTAAAGGTCCCCAGGAGGATGAGTCTCAGACTGAACTGAGCCTGGGGCGGGAGGGGGCGGGTAGCTCACCCCTACAGGCCTCCTGAGGGCCTCCGGGAAGTCCTAAGAGAAAAACCAAGTCCATAGAGCCCCTCCACCCCCAGCCTTCTCCATGCTTGTCGTGAAGATGGGGAAGTCTGAGCATGGCAGACAGTCCCTTAGAAAGTCTGTACTCTGCCTACCAGGAAGCTCGCCTTCATTGCCTTAGGCATTACATTCCCAGGTTCTAGAGGCCTTGGTCTCACTTCTGCCACAGCACCATGCCCTCTGTGGGTGCAGCCTGTGTACCTTGACTAGACAGTAAATTTCCTGAAGCCAGGAACTGAGAGATATTGATTTTTTGAGTCTACATGTCTGGTTTGGTTCCTAATAGGCAGTAAATGTGGGGAAAGATGGCTGGGCACATGCTCCTTCAACCTTCAGGGCTGCAGAGGGTCCACTGCTATGTTTACCTCCCCACCCTCCCATACCACAGAGGGAAGGGGTGAAGGGGAAGGAGGGGACATCCACCTCACGGGGACCCCAAGGCTCTTACCTGCCACCCGGTGGGCCACCAGCCCTTCCAGGTTCAGTGGCTCTTCCTCAGGAGTTCGGGAGGGGTCTGAAGTTGCTTCCTTTGGTGGGAGCTGAGGCTGAGCTGTGAGGCCAGGGAGAGAGGCCGGGGGCTGCTGAGGCCCTGCAGGGCTGTGGGTGAAGGTAGGCGAGGAGGAGGCAGCTGGGCTCTTTGGACGGAAACTCTGGTTGGCCCCAGCTGGACAAGACTGATACTCATAAGGTGTATAAGACCTGCTAGGAGCCACAGGCTCGGGGATTCCGGTGGCATGCCCACTGGGAATGTAGCCAGATCTGGACTGGGTGAGTGGATGGGACTGGCGGGAAGACCCTGAGAGGGGCTGAGAGGAGAGTGGGGAAGCCCCTGGCCAGGCCCCAGGGACGCTCTGTGACTTGTGCAGGGGGGCAGCAGCGGTGGTGGGCTCCAGGTCCAGCATCAGCAGATTGAGGGTCTCAATGGACTGCTCGATCTCCTGCTGGGAGGCTGCTCTAGGGAACTCGGGGAGAGCAGGGGTGGGGGTTTCTGCCAGTGGCTGGGGGCTGGGTCTGTTGCTTGGAAGACTCTCCAGCTGGCGAGGAGGTGGGCGAGGCTGCTGCTGCTGCTGCTGCTGCTGCCATGAATTCAAGCCCCTCTGTACAGCCTCCCGACTGCTGCCACCACGGGCTGGAGCAGGGGGCAACTGGGGCTCCACATCCGGAAAGGACTGAGAGCGGAACATGCCACTGGGGTCATGGCCATAGTGGGAGGTGGTCACTGGCTGTGGCCAGGCTGGGTGGAGCCCCTCACGCTGGTAGCCAGCTAAACCCTCCTGCGCGGAGTAAGAGGGTTTCATGGGGGCCACATGGCTGGCATGGGCAGTTGCTGCCCGGCTGGCTGACTCATAGGGGTAGCCCCCGCCATTGACCAGAGGTTCCCTGGGGTATGGCTTGTCCAGACCATTGGTGAGTGGGGATAGAGGCTCAGGGTAACCTCCCTCACTGATGTTGGTGACCCCGTCCAGGGAAGACAGAGTTCCCATACTGCCTCCACTGTGCCCATCCTGGTTGGGCAGCTCATCATCCAGGATGTCTGTCTCTCGCTCGGATGCCAAGGTCCCACCGTTGACATGAACCTGGGCTGGAACAACATGGCGGCCGGAGGAAGGCACAGCCGAGCCCCCAAGTGGGCGGGACCTGAGGTGCTGTGAGTGGTACATGGCACCTTGTTTCTCTCGCTCTAAGCCAAAGCCACTGAGCAGGCGGTCCAGCTCCTGCTTCTCCTGGGGACTCAGGGAAGTGGGGGCCCCAGCAGCCCCCGGGCCAGGCTCATCGGTCTTGTCTGTCTTGGTGGAAGCTGTAGAGTTGCCTGAATCGCTGCTCACGGACAGGGTGTGCTCCACGTGATTGGGTGTGGCCGACAGGGCAGGGCAAGTAACAGCCACTACCCCGGTGCTGCCGTTGAGGGAATCCTTCTTCTTCACCTTGGCATACAGGCTCCCATCCAGTGGCCCCTGGGTGTGTCCCACCACTTCTGTAAAACAGGGCAGGGCAAGGGGAGACAGCAGGCAGCGGACATTAGTGGAAGGCTGCCAGGGGGACATCTGCCATGCTCCCAAGAAAGGAGCTAAGATCTCCCATTCCCCGGATCCCCAAACCCTCATCTGAGAGGGCAAAAGAGAAGGACCCTTCTTCAGGCTTTCCAGGAGAGCCTTCACCAACACCCTGCTTCAAGCCAGACAACACCACTGAGGACAGAGCACGTGGCCCAGCTTCCACACTCAGCTATGGAGTTTCACCAGCGTCACAAACATGGAGGCCTCAGCTACTCCCCCAGTGTCCTTGTCTATGCTATGGAGATGGTAAAAGAATCAGATTGAGCTCAATGAAATGGCCGATAGTGCATCAAAATGAGCTGACATGTCATGTACTGAGACCACTAACCCCTACCATGAAATGTCAGCATCTGGGAATCATGACCATCAGTTCCTGAAGGTCCCTCCTCAAGTATAATCAGCTCCCTCCTCATCTCCATTCACAAAGCTTGCCTCTGATTCCTAGAATTCCTACTCCAGGCTCATTGGAGGCAGAGGCCAGGAGACGCAGGTGTTACAGTGACCACACATGGAGGTGTAAGCATGGTGATCCAGGCCTCCTCTATGGGCAGCATTCACCCAAGGTTATGGGAGAGAGCCTGGAAGGGCAGTAGAGGGGCTGTGAGGGGTTGGGGGGGAGAGGGGGAGAGTTGGGGCAGGTGCAGGAAGAAGGCAGACTGAGGTTCTCTAGGACAAACTTTTTCTGGAGCCTCTAGTTTGGCCCAACCCAAAGAATTTTCTAAGGCTGTTCAGACAATACCATTCAGCCCATCCACGGACATTTCCAGAGGCGTTTCCCTGGTCTTCCCCGGCACTGTGCCCTCTTCAGCCAGTTCACAGACCCATACCACTCAAGCCTCCACAAAAGCAGTCACTAGTCAAGAAATGGTTAGCTGGGTGCGATGCAGCAAGCCCACAAAAATGAGTGTCCCGATTACCATTGCTCAGGACCCTGGAAGAGCCAGGTGGAGGCGGAGCTCAGTAAGACACCAGTCCCCTGCCAAAGGGGACAAGCTCTGCCAGGGAGGGAGGGGTGGCATGGGGGATGATGGGGGTTCTGGATCCGGGTGGTAGGGGAGCATCTCAGGCATAGAGAGAAGAGCTGACAGCTCTAGGGACCCTTGGGGAACAACATGCTCTGAAAGGAAAAAGTGAGTGCTGAGTGGCTAGAGGCCAGAGGGCTGACTCAGGAAGAGAACTTCCCCGCCCAGAGCGCCTCCCGGATTCCACACACCATATAGTCAGAAGCTCAGCCTCCAGCCCCAGCACGCACACATGCACACCAACGTACACACACGTACATGCACACATGTACACATACTTCCTCTCCCTTCTGTCCTATCCCAGCCCCTAGCCAGCAGGGGGCTGGGGGGGGGGGGGGAAGCCCACTCCAAAGCGCAGCCACAACTCCAGCCAGCATACCAGTAGTTACACACAGAACCAGACACAAAGATGGCTGGAGACACACGCCACCCAAAAACCAGCCAAGTCAGAAAGAGCCAGGCGTGCACTCACTGGGCACCCACACGACTCAACACTGAGAAGCACTGTTGGAAAACACGGGCAGACACCATAGTTGCCAGTGTGTGGTGCACAGCTCCATATGCCAAACACATGGCTGGGTACTTTGACACACACGTTTTTTTCTGCCTGTGAGTCTCATAGGGCTCTGCCTCACGGAAAGATGGATAAACAGGCTCAGTGGTGCAAAAATGCACACTACCTAGTTAAAGATCAGCCTTAAATCAGAACTAATTTGCTTTAAAGACCATATAATTTGTATTATGCTACACAACACACACACACACACACACACACACACACACACACACGCACACACACGAATAAAAGCAGGAATACCACAAAATAAGTACTTCAATTTAAAGCCACAAACATCTCAAAAAAAAAAAAAAAATACAAATGTCCCTGCCATACCCAAGGTTCTGCCCTCAGGCCAGAAGTAACAGTCTCTAAAAATAAACCCTTAGACAGAAGCTCAGGGCCAAAAACAAGTGATCAGACAAACCACACAACAGGAATGTCCCAATCAACACACACACACACACACACACACACACACACACACACACACACACACACACACACACACAGAAACCACAGGCCAACCAACCAAGTTATCTCACTAGAGGACTTGTACATCAGGCCCTGAGTCCCCCTAAACACACACACACACGCTCACACACACATACACATGCACATGCATGCACACTTGCACACTGGGGCTCTGCCTCTCCACTGCACTCGGCAGAGCCACACATCTTCCCTCAGTCTTCCTGAGGCTTCAGAGCCTCAGCCAGAGGTGGGTTACTTTTCATCTAAAGATCCTAGGTGCTGGATTGAACAGTTAAGGGGCTTGGGCTGAGATGTGTACTGAGTTCCCCCCAACCTCCCCTGTTTCCAGCCTCCTCAAGGAGGCTAAGGTCTGGGCATGGTTGCCTCTCCAGCTAATCCAGTGATCATCTTCAAGGGGTCCAAGCAGCAAGGTGAGAGAGGCTGCCCATCATGCCTATCTCTCCGAGAACTAGCTCCTGGCTACACACGGAAACAGAAGTTCTCCAGCAGGCTGTTTCTACAGGTGGTCATTTAGTACTATGGGGGTCCCTGGAGGACCTGGCTTTCGTTCCTTCTGAGTCAGGAAGGCAGCAGGACCTGTCTGCAGGTGCCATACTGCAATGCCAGCATGTGCCTTCCGGGATAATGCTGCTTTTGCCTCTTCTGGGCACCCAGCAGGGCTGGGTATGGGTTGTACAAGTCATACTCCCATGCTTGGCAGTCAGCAGAGTCCTCCTAGGGGCTGGACAGGACTGAAGACCTACAGCTTTCCACTCACTGTGAGACACAGACAGTGCCTCAGAGTCCGTTCTATTTGAGAGCATCAAGGCCACCCCACCCACTAGTACTTTCTCATAAAAGAAGACCTTGCCGCAAGGGCACTCAGAAAGCATCCCCAAGGTAAGCCGAAACACTCACACCGCTCACACTCTCTGACACCCCGGCCCTTCCTTGGCCCCTCCAGCCAGGCCTCACTCGCCATCGATTTTGCAAATGTCAATATTCAACCTGTTCAGCCATGTAAGTTTATCCCCAAGTGGCCTACTGTTTGCAGAAACATCAGGATCAGAATTTGCCAAGCCACTAAGACTTAGAAAATCGAAGAGGTGTAAATTATTTAATTAAACTCTGCTTGTTAAGTGCAAATGAGCATATTTCTTGCTGTCCTCAAAGAAGGAGCCAGTTGCTCCTGATTGTCCAGGGCTGGCTGAAGAAACCATACACTCACTCTAGGCCACTCTGCACCTTTGGTTGAACCATCTTCTTTACAGTGAGGGCAAAGTCAAGGATACTTGGGCCAGCCCAGCCACCAGGACAGCTCTACTGACCTGCCCGGCATGGGGGTGTGTCCCGCCTAGCCCATACCCTTCCTCCTCCTCTGGAGATGGAGGCTCCCAGCTGCGTGCGCGCATGCGTACACACACACACACACACACACACATTCACCTCACTCCCTCTCCCCACCCACCGTGGCCACATTAAGAGCTATTTATCCGGACCACAAGCAGCCGGAACACAATGTTGGTTTCAATCTATCAAGGCAGGAAGGGCAAAAGAGAGAGGCAGACAGAATGAGGGAGGGAAATAAAGTGGTGGAGGACAGGACAGGACACTTCAAAGAGGATGGGGGAGAGAGATTTAAGGCTGTAAGCGGACCAGCAATCAGCAGCACCTCTAGCGCAAGTCCCAGTAGCCTCCATGGGACTGGCTAGTTTAGGTAAAGCCACCTGACAAGGGAAAGAGTCTGTTGTGGCTCAGAGGAAGGGTGGCGGGATAAAGAGGTCTGGCTGGTGGGGGTCATGGGTACTGATGGGTACAGAAATTGGTGGTGGTAGAAACACAGGTTGCAGAAGCACAGGAGTAAGAGGTGCCCAGCCCTGACCCAGCCAGCCTGAATGTCCTGTAACACGGGCCATCTCCCATCCATTCCTCTAGGGAAGCTGGGAAGTCCACAGCCTCCTCAAGGCCCCACTTGCTTTGTCTGGCTGTGTCTCCCTGCTCTTCTAGCAGCTGCTGGGAGCCCCAGACTCCACCCTGGCCGCTGAGCTTGCTTCCATGCACACTCGGCCCTTAACTCCATTGCGGCTGAGATCCAAGGTGCGAGTCATGCTTTTGGAAAGATGAGAGGAAAATCCCCAGCTGACTTGGACGAGGCCCTACTCCCTAAGCTTCCCCTTGTCATACACGCATGGAGATGTGAGGTACTAGGAGCGCGGGCGAGGCGTGTTCATCCGATACATTTGCAGAGAACAAAAGAAGCAAGGGGGAGGCCCGAGTTGCATGGTCTTAGGGCCGTGTTTTCTGATTCTGATGCTCCTAAGAATCTCTTTGGGGAATTATGTACAATATAGGTTCCAGGACCTGATCTTAAGAGATTTTGACTTGGTAGAAGGCTGAGGGTTGACATTTTCAAGAACTCTCCTGGGGTTTGGGTACTCCCTGCCCCCCATATACACGAAGAACATCTCAGGAAACCCAGGGTCCAGTGAGCACACTTCAGACATCAGGTGAAGGGCCCCTCTTGCTTCCTGACATGAAGGAGAGGCTCTGCTTATTTAGATCTCAGGACTGATGATCCAACCATGAAGAATAAAAGATGTCATCCCAACTGATTATAAACGGTTCCTGGCCAGGTGCCGCTGGCTCATACCTGTAATTCTAACTACCCAGGTAGCCAAAATCTGAGGATCATGGTGCAAAGCCAGTCCAGGTAGAAGACTCTTATCTCCAAGTTACTATCAAAAAGCTAGAAGTGGAGCTATGAGTCAAGTGGTAGAGTGCTAGCTAGCCTTGAGGGAAAAAAAAACTAAGGGCACCGGTACAGAAAACAAAACAAAAACAAAAAACAAAAAAAGGGAGTTTGGGA